AACAGGTCAACATTTTTAATTTTATTTTTTTAAGACAGCTTTATCAGTGAGTTAACAGCTGCAATGGGCACAACATTCCTTTCCATCAAAGCATGACCTTATCACTTCCCCAGTAATTCATTAGAATAGTAATTAAAGACTTGCAAAAAAGAAACAAGTAGGAAATGTTGCAGTTGTGCTAATACTAGATATAAAAGTGGAATTGGCAAATGATATAGATCCTAATCCAGCTTCAATTAATCGCAGCTATTAGATTACATTCTATGGAAAAGTATAATTTGGTTAAGCGAGTCTTTGTGTGAAGGGGGGGGGGCATATTTCAAATAAACTGGTAATTTTTTTAAAAAAGATGGTCAAAATCAAATTGGTTCCTCGTCTCCGGCGGATGGACTAGTTCTGATATTTAGTTAAGCTATTAGAGCACTGTGATAGGCAGATTAATAAAAGTGATTGGTCAGGAGTCTCACTAGGATAAGCAGCACCCAGTACTTGCTCCGTATGTTGCTTATCAGGCTATCTTTGAATGGATAGTCTGCTAATGTGTTCGACGAGACGGGGAAACAAAGCTTGTCAAATAATCAGTTAAATTATATATGAATCAATTATTATTATTATTTAAAGATTTAATAGGTTGATATGAAATTGCGATATTGAATCAACTAGTACATAAGAAAAGTCAAAACCAAGGAGTTAATAATGTGTTGTCAAAACAATATTGATCCATTTATTTAAGGTACACTGACATTCAATTTTAAGCTAATCTGGTAAGGGATATCCAAGATATGTCCAGAAGTATGCCTTATAAAGTATACCAGTTTTTTTCCACCGCACATACCCATGGACAAAGAGTTGCAACGTATTCAAGAATTTGTTTTCTCGGATATTTTATTGTGTTTATCTATTTTATTGCACACCTATGTCAGTGTCTAATGTGGATTTAAGCCTTGAAACTAATTTTATCATTCTGTTTAATTTTTACCAAATACATGTATAATTGTGTGTAATACACAATGGTCCACGATTATACCTTAAATTTCCCAGAGATAAAACTACTCCCTTACAGATATTTTTTGAATACTCAGAACACTTAGTATCGCAATTACCTCGAATTGTATAACTTACTGCGGCTGTTTTGCAATAAAGTCAAGAAACTTATAAATCTCCATTCATTTTCGGGGCATAACATGTTGTTTACATATATTGTTTACGCTAGTGACAATGGAATGATACGAACAATAAGTATGCCGAAGGTACAATGTAATGCCGATGGTTGCACTTCAGAAAGCAAGTCAAAGTATTCGGAATATTTAGACTTCCAAAATAACGTTTATCAGAAAGAAAATGATTAAACTTATTATTAGAATAGTCTACTTAGCGGGAAATATCCACAAAAAATTAACACAAGAGAGCTAGCATTTTAATTTCATAGCGTGGTGCAACGAACATTTAGCTAGGTATTTCACCAGGGCTTCTTTCTTATATTATATGTCCCTTAAAAATCTGCAGTGATCGATCTCATAGTGTAGTCAATAGCTATAGCACATTGTCCTCAGCTATTAATCAACGTTTCCTACCTTCAACGCAAAAGAGTTTCATTACGTTAAGTAATAGCGATATAAGTATTCTTCCTTTTGTTTGAAAATGGTTAAACTACCCTTATGGCATGAGGTTATATAAAACTAAAATTAGTCGTACTTTAAAACACTTAATAGGTGATGATTAAATTAATAAGCCTTGGCAGTTATTTTTAATTAAAACAGTTTAACGATTCGAATGTAGTTGCAAGTACTTCCATGACCAGTCATAAAAGGTGTTTATCCTTTTTTCAGGGAAACTTCGAGCAGGTTTAGTCAGTATTGGATACGGCATATCATGCCCATATGTTTTATTATTTGTAGAATACAAAATTTAAATTTCATTCACTACAATTGGGGAGCAACGGCTAAAGCACATTTGCCACCAACATGCAGGGGGGTTATTTTAGCTTTGAAACGCTGGCTATAAAATGTACATATTTAGGCATCCATTAAGTAGTTGTTACAAGGCTCACATATTTTTACTTTCTTTCATTTTAATGATTTATTTATTTATTTTTTAATTTTACTATAGATTATAGTTGTTTGATAAATTGTGAAGAGGAAATATGATTTATGCAGCTGGGGAAATGAGAAGGGGGGGGGTTAAGTACACAAATATTTTTTTAAAAGTATTCTAAGTTGAGAGATGACGTAAATATCTCGTTTTTGTTCAATTTGGGTCTGACACACTCCACACTTTTTAGTACAACTATAACCAATACTTGCAAAGATAGTTTAAATTTTTAAAAAAGCCATAAAAATGCGTAACAGGAGTAACAACCTAGTAGGTAAGTAATACGATAAAATAAACCAACGGGACAGGGAATAGAGTGCAGGTATGGATCCACAATTTTAGATTAAACGGGGAGTTATTTTATTCTCACAAGTCCATAATTGCATTTCAACACATATAACGGAATAGGTCAATGACCGTTGACGATTTAAATTCATATTTTGTTTTAATGCATTGAATAGTAATTGACTAATAAGTCACTTGTTTTATAAGTTGTATTGGTGAATGAGCAGGCCCTGGTCGACGGTGACCATTTGCGTTGAGGTACTGCCGCCGTCACCATGGTTCTTGGCACCCCCATTGGTGGCGGTTGCAGTTCCATTCTTACTCGTGGTAGACACGAGTATTCATGGCCCTTGCAAGTGGCGTATTCCGTCGCACCTCAACGCAACTGGAGGAGTGCAACACATATTCTTACGCTCATTCCATTGTTTATCCTATTGCACATGTAAATTGAAATTCAGGATTTGAATTTGTGCATTGGCTTGTAATTGACAAGCAGTTGACTTGATTGATATTGAATTGATTGATTGAATGATGATTGATTGATTGAACTTGATTGATTATTGATTTATTGATTGAACTTGATTTATAATTGAATTGGTGACGTTCATGCACTTGTGACCTACCCAGTGCATGATCCGCCCGATTTGGGTCGTCACATTTGTTGTATTGATTGTTGATTGTGGGGCAGCCCTGTGGTAGCCCCAGCAAATTGATCACCGCGGCCAGAAGCGCCACATTAAACAAGCAAAATAATATCTGTTGTTTGTTTGATTAATAGGGAATCTGTAATAATACCACTTATACGAGCCTGGTCTCGGATAAGTGAGTTTATTTCAGTAACCCTAGTAATATTTATCTATTCCGGATAAGTTACGTACATTCGGATAAATATAAATTTTCACCCTTAGTCACAAGCTATCATTCCGGATAATTTAGGTCCATTTGTATATAGTCTAATAATAAGTTCTTTTCTACCTCCTTTCTAGAAGAATCGATTAAACGGTAAGGTCATGGAAAATTTTTGGGAGTTAAATTGTGGCAATGTTTTAAATTTTACCCACCCACCCTCCTCTTGTTTTTAGAACAAATACTGCTGCTTTTTGTTATGTCATTGTAGCTGAAGACTGCCTGCTTCGCCCAGCTTCCACAACAGCCTAAGTCGCGGTGGTGGATTATGTGTGTTCGGATATTATATGTACGTAGGGACGGCTTGCTTGGTCCAGCACCTACATCAGCCTATGTGCCGATGGTGAATTTTGTGTGTTTGCTCATTCCGTAAATACAGCCTGATTGGTCCAGCGTCCACATCAGCCTATGTCAAGGTGGTGAATTCTGTGTGTTTACGTATTCCGTGATGACTGCCTGCTTGATACAGCGTCCACTTCAACCGATGTCGCGGTGTTAATTCTGTGTGTTTGCGTATTCCGTCGCACCTCAACGTAACTGGAGGAGTGCAACACATATTCTTACGCTCATTCCATTGTTTATCCTATTGCACATGTAAATTGAAATTCAGGATTTGAATTTGTGCATTGGCTTGTAATTGACAAGCAGTTGACTTGATTGATATTGAATTGATTGATTGAATGATGATTGATTGATTGAACTTGATTGATTATTGATTTATTGATTGAACTTGATTTATAATTGAATTGGTGACGTTCATGCACTTGTGACCTACCCAGTGCATGATCCGCCCGATTTGGGTCGTCACATTTGTTGTATTGATTGTTGATTGTGGGGCAGCCCTGTGGTAGCCCCAGCAAATTGATCACCGCGGCCAGAAGCGCCACATTAAACAAGCAAAATAATATCTGTTGTTTGTTTGATTAATAGGGAATCTGTAATAAACTACTCTACGAGTTGTGCAGTTCTGTCAAAAATAAATGAATAAAATAAAAATAAACAATTTGGCTTCCCCTCTCAAAGCGTCTCCTGTTTCAAGTCTGTCCATAGAAGGATAGAGATACCCAAATGGCCTTTGTGTGATCCTCAAAAGATTTCACACCTTTTTATTTATTTTGATAGACTTGTTAGTCATCATTAAGAAGCAATGAATTATGATTTGCCCTTTACGTGAATCTTCCACCCACTCTTGCAATTATGCCTCCTGGCCTCTCATTTTGCAAGACTGCAAAAGTGGAATGATAAAGTCAATAGTTTTTCAAGCTAATTATTATTTTCCATGCATAGTATGGAGAGATGAGTAAATAGCGTCAAGTAATATACCGCCATAAATCCAATATCCTTCATTTTTCCACGAAGTGGTACACAGATACAATTGATGTGGAAACGTTGAATATGATAAACACTAGCAACCTATGGTAAACAAAGCTTTTGACACTTCAATCACACTGGTAATATACATGTATATTACACAAAATTTCCTATCAAAATGGAATTTTTAATTGATTTTTTCAAACTCCTGAGACGGAATTCTCGGAAATAAAAAAAACTCTGTTTGCGTTGTTGATAACATGTTCTTAATCATCATGTACAGGTTCAAAACGTAGTGATATGTATATATATATAATTTCAGGTTAAATGGTGAGAAAGTCATGTGATTTACCGAAGCTTTATAACAAAAATTGGACATTTTGATGTAGTAGCTTTCTCTTTTACAGGAGTTGCAGATATGCCCCAGGGAAAAGAGATTTCAGATGCTGTAGGTTCAATAGCAAGTATAAATCCTATAGATAGAAGCATACTTTGAAATAAGATGATATGTTTGATGAATATGTTTAAATCTTGTAGCAGATGAATATATTTGACTGTGTATGTAAGAGGAGCGGTTGTTGGGACATATAATTATTCATTTAAAATCATATGCAGCTGGTGCTTTAGATCATTAAAAGACCAACTAAGAATAAATAAATGATTTAAAACTTGCATAAAAAACAGAAGCCAATGCATATTTTAAAGTTCGTTGAGTAGAAAATGAATATTATCACGATAGATTAGTCTGTGTAAAATGCAAAATGTAAAAGATAGCCCAATATTTTGAGATCTGGAAAAGATGAAGTTTAGTGTTGAGTTAAAAATGTTCGAATCGTTTTCATGGTATACGACCGTCACGTGATTACATCAATTTTAGAGTTTTAATTCCGGATCCGGTCAAGCAGCACCACCTTATGTTACTCTAAGTATTCTGGTGGCGGGAGTGGTAGGTGGTGTGGTGATTGTGGTGGCAGTTCTCTTCTGCTGTAAATGCTGCTCGGAAAAATCAAAATCAAGATGGAGGTAAATTAAGCATAAGGCCACATACATATTTTTGAAGCGAACTATGAACAGGGTTCATGTATATGAATGCATTCTCATTACTTTATCTTCATTTTCATCTGAGAATGGGGGGCATCAATGAACAAGGTTACGATTGTAAATCTTGTAAAATAATTAGAGGTCTTTTGAGACCACGATTACATCAATATGTTTTCAAATCGATGCAAAGCTGATCATTAACCAAAAATGTCTCAAGCCAGATATGCGCAATGAATGTTCTACATTTGAAATTTAATAGGTTCTTATGTCTTCTGTGTGTTTTAGATTGAACATAAGGGATTCCATACATATTACTGATGCAGAAAGGAGCGTGACGTCACCAACCTCGAAATACGAAAACGCTCATTCTGACTTGTTTTCAGACCCAAGCCTCGGATCCGTGGAGGGCATCCTGTCCAGTCCCCGATCATCAGACCTCAATAAAAAGTTAATAACTATTTTATATAATATATAATTTTGGCATTCTGAAATAAATCTTGGCATACTGAAAACATATAAATTACATGTAATATAGATAAACTTTGTATCGAAGCCTACATTCATATAACATTTGTATGGATCAAAACGCAGTTCTTGTTTGTTTAATATTAAAAATATGAAAGGCAATCCCCACCTGTCATCGTGACTCTCTTTCAAAAGTAAATATCTGTCAATAAAATTCGAAGAAAAAAATCAATCAAATTAAGACTGAGCTATTTCGTAAACCTCGACAACCGATTTTATAAATTTATGAATTACGTATTAGATTTTTTTTTAATTTTATGTGTGTGTGTGTGTGTCCTTGAGCGTTTCGAGACATACTTTTCAATATTGTGTAATCTTTAATGCTGTCTCCAGAGATTTTAATGTTAGTGCTATCAGTATGCAGTAAGCTGGTTTAAGACCCCTGACTTTGGACGGAATTAAACCATATACCCTGATTACATGACCTTTTGTCGATCTTCTGAGAATTTATTTAAGCCTGAAAGCATCATGGAATGGATATATATCGACTTTGTTTTAAAGATATTGTCCTTAATTTAAACCAGAAACATAATGAAAACCTTAATAAAACATTTACAAAGCATAATGATGATGAAATTAATAAATAAAATTAATTGAATAGTTATTCTCTTTTCTGACATAGAAAAAATGCATGGAGAGATAAAGACAGCAACATTGACCTTGGCCTTTGACCCTGCTTTATGGTCATGACAAACTGTGAGAGTAACTGTAATTCCGTGAAGTACTAGCATTACTTCATTCTTATTTGTGGCTATAATTCCGTGAAGCACTAGCATTATGTCATTCTAATATGTGGCTATAATTCCGTGAAGTACTAGCATTATGTCAATCTTATTTGTGACTATAATTCCATGAAGTACTAGTATTATGTCTTTGTTGTGGCTTGTGAGATGATTTGAAAAATCAACAATGCTATTGATATTCTGTGGATATGACATTAATCAATGCCGCGAAACTGATCGTTACAGGAAAAACTATTGTACAAAACTGTTTTCATCTATGACTTTACTGAAACCTGTTTATGCCGCATAATTTTTTGGAATGGCTGTAGAAAGAATTTGATCTTTGATGTACATATGTTCATGTATATTCTTGAAGGTTGTGACATATCACTTCAATACAAAATACAGTAAAACACGCTTGTAGCGAACATGATTATAATGAATCGATGATTTTCATTCCCCTCGGCTTTAAAATATAAATGTGAACTGGACGGATAGGACGGATTACGTTTATAACAAAGCAAAATCGCCCGTCCCCGGCACTCAGTTAAGTAGAAAGTTACTGTATTGTGTATTTTTATCAGTTGCGACATTGACCTTGATCTATGAGATATATAAACGCCATTGACCCAAGTTCATGACAAAGCAAGATTGAAAGGAAAACTAATTCCCGAAGTACAATGCTTTCAAACCAAAACACAACATGCTGAGAAAACCTTTTGCAATCAAACAAATAAATCTGGCAATTTGAAAAACTTAAACAGACGAACGGGAATGTTTTGATATACCCCATGTTTTAAGAGTGGCTTCATCAAGCTTTGTTAATTAGTATACTACATATTCATATTTATTTTCCTAAAGAATTCTGTGGAAAACAAATTAATTAAGGACAATATATAAAGATGTTACCATGATAGCAACAGTATCATTTGTTGTTAGAATTAGTTATCTTTCTTTGTAATTTTTTCAGTAGAGAATCAGATCAGCTTTTTTACGAGGCATCAGAAACAACGAAACTGAAAACGGACTTTGAAAAAGGTTAGAAATATTTGATGATCCTCTCAACATATTTACTTGACATCAGTATATAGACTAAATAAGCTACAGGATTCCATTTCTAAAGATTAGATACTAGGTTGGTGATCGTATACCGGTATAACAGTAAACTTCCTTAGATTTTGCAATTGCGAGGTTTGATCATTGACAATTGCTTTAAGTCATACGCCCAAAACACTTGGACATCAAACTCTCGGTTTCCTGAATGCAAAATGTTTTTTTTTTTAAATCTAAATATTTGACCAGCAAATTATTTAAATTTTACAGAGGACTATAAGAATGATCTGGGTCATTTGGAATACTCCAAAGAAGAACAAACTTCAACTCAAGAGGAACCAAACGACAAAGCATCCAGGCGAGTATCCTTCCAGCTGGAAGATCTTCCACCCAGTCAGCACCTGCGCAAAGGAAGAAGGTTTGATCAAACTGCTCGGTGACAGTCCCTTCCCATGATCCCATTCTGCACAACTAATCATTACCTCCCCTTTCCGACATCCGGGCAATAGAAGAATAGGGGCACTTACTAAATTCTGTTGTATCTATTCTATATTGTATGTATGTTCACCGACATCTTAGAAAGGGAGATAACTGTAATTTTAATTTTGAAAAATGTTCAGAGCCAAACAAATTTCCAACGTTCTGCATGATATGGCATGGAATGTCGTAATGTACATGTACTGTTAATAAACACAATGATTTTGCACATATGAATCCTGTGAACTATCACTAACACTTTCAGTTTTGCTGATCGACAAATAAATCACAGAGGATGGTCACATTCCAGAATTTCGGTTTTCTGTCAGTTCCTTAGTAAAGTTTATCCCTCCGTACGTATTCCTCTGCGCTCGCAGCGATCTAATGTTCCTAATCGCAACTACGGCTTGACGAGTAATTTACTTATATGACCACGAATCAAGGTCTAGTCAAAGCAAAAAACACCTGACATTCTCTTGGTGGCTTAAAAAATATGGACCAGATAAAATAATTTGCTCAGCAGCCACATTAAGCTTTACTTCTGAGAATTAAGTGTACTTTAATTCTTACATAAAGTGTTTGCAATGAATTATTCTGAGAATTAAGTAAAGTATTACAGAAAGCCTTAAAGTGTAAGAGAAGGCATAGAAAAAGTACCTGCCACACAAAAAGAACAAGCACCATTAATATACATCATACATGTAAAAATTAATGGACAAACACTAGAAATCTTTTTTGCATTCTTTAGAAATTAACTGCAAATTAAGTAAATGATATGATGTTTGAAGTCAAAAATATATTTACCACTTTTCAAAATATCTCTAATCTTACGTCTTTTCAACAGCTGTCTTATTTAACACCACAAATAATGTGATTGCATCAATTAAGCTTACATAGCATGTTTTGTAAAACTTCACTTTTTACGTTAAATACTAACTTTATCTACTTATTGTATATATATTTAACTTTGTGGAGAGAATAAACTCAGCAGTTTGATCACCTTTACCTCCATGTTTCCACCTTCTATTTATTTCTTCCCAACCACTTCACTATTTCAACGTACAAGTCAATCACGATTAAACCAGGATTATACAACATATAAAACCTGGCAATTTTTGGTAAAGGCAAGTCATCCCGATTATCAATTAAAAACAAGTTTGAAAGTTATTTTTCAGTAATTTGAAAAGAACAATTTTGCGACTGTAACTAATCAATAAAATGTTCATCTACAGAATCTGTAAGTATATATCAGTAAAAAGAAAAATAATACTAAGCGACACCAATTTTGGTAATTGTTTAATGAGTACGTTTATATAGTGAGTGTGACGTTTATGTATATATAATATTTCTAACACGTACTTGAATTTAAAATAATATCACACATTTTTTGCTAATATTTTCATCTTTCTTTCAATTTAAAAACAGAGTAATTTAAGAGCTATTTGAAAATACATTTAATATTTTTGAGGGAATAAATGTTTTACATCAGAATTACAAACCATACTTATACTTGGTTTGAATTTGTTGGGGGTAAAACTTAAAACGTTTCTGTATACATCATGTTCGGACTACTTTTAGTATTCTAATTTAAGGAATGGTTTGTTTTTTGTGGACAGATACACCGATGGAGATTTTCATCATCTTAAAAGATCCAGAATTGGGAAGGTTCCTCGCCAGTATTCGCTCGGAACAAGGAACTTGGATGCTTCCAATGGAGTGGATCCACTAGACCAGACAGTTCTAGAAAAAATACAAAAACCCATAGTGAGCGAGGTAGATCAAGTGACACCCCTTTACACCGGAACTGAATCTCCCTCCCCCTCAAGTACCCCCCTCAAAACCGAGGTCGCTGTAGAAATACATCACAATGCTCAGGAGAACAAATCAGTCCAAAGCTTGCCGAAGTTCAAACCAATGGTTAGCGAGAAGAAACAGTGGCGATTTAAGTTGTATTCACAAAGTTTGGACATCGCATCAGATGACTACGAATATAAACAAGAAGAAAGAAGGTGTAAGAGTTACCACGACATCGGTGACTACGATGTTCTTCAGATAACGGAGTTCAAAGGTCCCTTTTTTAACACAGATTTCGATGCCATTTCAGAATTAGGATCATCAAGCAGTAGCAAGGTAAGGTATAACGATACAGGAAGTATTGAACAGCTAAATGACGAAAACTTAGATAGTTTGGAATTCTTTGAAGAGTTTGAGATGGATACATTAAGAATTGATGACAGTGATGATAATGAAACAATAAACGGTACACAAAAATACCGCGAACTATGGCATCTAAGAACCACTTTCGAGGAAGAAGAGGAATGTAGTGACACAATACGAATGGAGGATATGACGTCACCAGATCAGTCACCTGATGCCGATGTCCAGAACGTATTTGATCCTCGAGCAAGTTCTGATGAACAAGCAAAAGGTAGAAGGTCTAGTTCAGTTGGAACGGTTCCATCAAAAGAATCAATCTCGATTACCTTAAATCCCGAGTCAGAAATTAGACGTAGGACATATAAAAATATCCTTGAACGACGAAGCGAGCAGCGTTCGGTGCACTGCTCTCCGAATGCGGAAAATAGTTTTGATAGCATTACAACTGTTGACACCGACGGGGACCGCTCGGACACCAGTCGTCCGGAAGTGACAACGACTTCTTTTGAGTCGACAACCGATAATACAGACAGTACAACAGAGAGCCAAAACCATAAACTGATCCAGATGAAAGCCGACAGTGGGTACAAGTCATTAGAAACTCCAAATCCTTCACATTTATTCAAAAGAAATCACAGTACTGGAGAAATTGAGGAAGAAATAGTAGAATTAGAGCCACTAACTGAGAAACTATTTGTTCATGCGCACTCCCTTCCGGAGAGCGGATCTTCCGGTGAACGCGCCTATTTTGATAGACGCACAGGCAAAACTGCCTCTCGAAAAAGACGAGAATATCGTCGAGAACGACAAATGGTTCAAGTGTATGAAAGCATTAATGAACCAGAGAGCGATTCAAAGTCAGATCAACAGTCTGTTGAAAGTCTGAAAGTTGCTTCACCTTCCAGCAAGTTCTCCGTTTTTTCTCGATTGTTCAAGTCAAATAAGGACCAAAAAGAAAAGCAGTATGCTACTCGTGACTATTCTATAGATGAAAAATCCAACAGAGTGTTCCAGGAATTTTTAAGGTTTGACCCTGCGTTGGAAAATAGGCCACGCTCTGCAAGTCAACCAAGAATACATATACCAAAACACAGACTTCACAGAAAACACTCAGATGTCAAATATTTTGAGGAGAGACGCCGGGATAGGTTGGCGCCAGACAAACGAAGTTTAAGTTTAGGAAGTGACAGCAGCACCAGTTCCATTCGGAGACTCTCACCTCAAGATAGTATCGAAGAGGAAGATTACGAGGATGTTCGAAAGGAAGAGGAAGAGAGCGAGTCTTATGATCCGCTGTTACAGAGAGCGTTTTCCGGTCACGTGGTGCAAACCTTACCTCTACCGGAAGAAGAGGTGGGTACGGAGGAGGCGTAACCTTGTTTCAGATTTCTTACAATCAATTTTCAACATTTTCATAACTTTGTCACAATTTTAATTCATCAGTTTACTGCTTTGCAGTAATCTAGACATGAATATGAACAATTGGTGCAAATATTATTTTATGAAATAATTAATTTATATTGGATGTAGGATTTTGTGTGGTAGCTGGAAAACAATATTAACAAAATGTTATTTGATGTGTTTTAACATTACCCACATACAAATGTGCTTATAATCATGAAATCCGAGACTATATGTTTTTACCATGAAATTGTTGTTCAGCATTTAAATATACCTTCCCAATATTTTTTTTCTATTTTATATTCTTTTTAAAGTTTGAAATCTTATCAGAAAAAAATAAATGTTGAAATTTTACTACATTAAATCAATGGAAACTTCTGTGGTTCTCTTTGGGTTGTAAATTGTCTGATGTTTGTTTAAAAGAACAGGAATACTTATAGGGAGTCTATGTGTGAACCAGCTTAGCTTTGCTGCATGAATGGATGAAAAGGAAAGGAAAGAGCAACAGGTTAGATATAAATACCTTCTATCATTCACGGAGGCGGGGGTTATTTCGGCAGATACACTTCATCTAGTATATTATTATAAAATACATGAATATCGTTTAATAACTTCGACGATTAGAATTTTACAATTTTTTTCCTCGAACAGCGTAATTAAGTGTTGTTTAACTATACTCGTATATATATACATATAAATGACGTCATTCAAAGGATTTGATTTTATTATTCTACTGTATTTTTCACGTAAAAAGATATATCCCTTTGCAAAATGAAGGTAGTAAATGTTAAACATATACTTTATTTAACAGGTTATCAACAAATGCATGAAACTGATAGAATTCAAAAGGTTTTTATAAAAACTCCATTCATATATCTGGACTACTAATTTTGTGCTTGTGTTTTTTCCCCCTGAAACTTAAGGTGCAAGCGGAAGCTTAACAGAGAAAAAAAACTTGGATGGTCTGACCTTAAAAAAAAGCAAGCTAATTCAGGGACTTTGTGTCCCCCGCGTAAGGAAAAATGAAGAGGACTGAAGACCTGAAAAATGCGGACGGAGAAAGAAAAAAAGATTGACCTTCACCTTTCAGCTTTTGGACTTTAAGTCAAAAGAGGTCCTTTTCAATATAACTAAAGCTCTCATATTAAACCTTTGTATGTAATATATGAATTTCTGACCTTGGTCGTTGACATTTGACTTCAAATCAATAGGGGTCTTTTTAAAGTCATTGACTAAAGGCCTGAAATATCATCACAAAATCTCAAACAGAAATAAAGTTATCACCAGGAAACCATTTTATAAAAGAAATGAATTTTTGACCTGGACCTTTAGACCTAAAACTCAAAAGAGGTATTCTTTAAACCATTGAAAATTTCATTGAAAAAAGCTCGAAGAAAACTGAAGTTATGGTCTGGAGGCCTTTTTTTTTTAAATGTATGAATTTGACCTTTGACCTCAAAATCATAATGGTTCTTCTTATATTAACTAGGAGTTATATAAATTTCCATTGAAAAGCTGAAAGAGAACTAAAGTTAACCTCAGGAAACCATTGGGGGGGGGGGGGGTTATGAATCTCTTACTTTGACCTTCTAACTTAAAAAACTTAGGAGTTTTTTTAAACATTGAGAGTTATTATATAAAATTTCATTGAAAAAGCTTAAAGACAATTAATGTTTTCATCCTGAATCCATTTTTTGGCAATGTTTGAATTTCTGACCTTGATCTTCGACCTTTTGACCTCAAAATCAGTAGGGTTCTTTTTTAAGCCATAGGGAGTTGTGATATACATGTAAAATTTCATTGCAAAAGCTTAGAAGGCTTTTTGGAATGTCGTCCGGAAACGAAAGTGTTACAGACAACAGAGACATATTGATATTCCCCACTTTCAGTGAAAGCGGGTGACAAAAAAATTCATTTAAAAGATTCACAGTGTGGGAATAACGAAATTCATTGCAACAAAGAGAAAACAAGGGTTTCTGAGAAACCATGTTTCCAGTAAAGTAAATGCATTTTTGCGGTCAAAGGCTTTTATTTCAACTTAAATCACGATCATTAATCACTGAGGTTTTTTTTAGGATCGGCTTCGGTCGATCCCAGTTGATTCCACAGGAGGCAAATTTAACTATGTGCGCACACATCAGGCCTACGTACTGCACTACTTTGTTTATACTATGCACTGACAGCTTCAAATGAAACTTTCAGAACATGTTAAATACTAACAAATATCATTTTAATGCATTTAACTTGAGATGCAGACGTTTATTCAGTTACATGGTGAATGCACTTACATTATTCTTTACATGCGTAAAAATTTCATCAGGCCGTCACGGTAGCTCAGTCGGTAGTGCGCTTGCTCCGTGATCGGAAGGTCGTGTGTTCGACTCACTGCCGCGACTGACCGATCGAAATCGATAAAAAAAAAAAGAAGGTAGTAACTGTTCCTTCGCCAAGCGCTCGGTATTTGAAGTGAAAGTTGCGGGTTCTTCGGATGAGGCGTTAAAAACCGAGGCCCCGTGTCATGGTAGCCGTTGGCAAGATAAAGAACCCTCACTGCTCAGTGGCTCTGAGTGCAGAGTAAAGGTTTAAATTTGAAGCCCTTCATCGGTATATGGTGACGTCTCTTTATGAGTGAAAAATTCTCGAACGGGACGTAATGTAACATACAATCAATCGAAGTTAAATCCAAAATCGGAATCGTACGATCTACAAGAAATATGAGAAAATCCAATTAAAAAAAAAAGAAAAAGATAATGCAGATCTACGTATAAAGTACATTGTATATAGTTTGCTTTTATCACAGGAAATCGTGAACCATACATGTACGTACCTAGTAGTGCGTTTGCTGAAAAAAACAGTATCAAAAAGCAGTTATCGTTCTTTCGCCACTTGCCAAGGGAACCGAAAACGCGCGCGCGAGATTTACACTGCAACTTACCAAAGAAACTTGATATATATATACAGTGGCATTTCTTTTGAACCAGTCTTCCACCCCATGTACCCTCGCCCGAAAGCAGTTTTTTTTTATTATTTAATAAAACAATATTAAAACGTATGAAAATATTGTATTTGATGTAGAGTTACCGGATCCGATCAAAACCAGATCAAAACATTTTGTGCGGGTGTCACTATCAGGCCAGATTTCCTGAGGGAAATTACATTATGTGGAGAAAACCACTATATAACACATTTGTTTGATTTTCATATTCATTCTTAATTTTTTTTCTCTAAAGAATGTTATTTCAGATTTTAAAAAGAAAAACAGGGAAAATTGTATTTTTGTTTCATTTCTCTCTTTTTTCCGGAGACATATGATGACCTTTGATTGACTAAAATGTACAAATGTATATGATACATAGTAATATATTCATAAATCGAGGCAGTATGTTTCCAAACCATTTTGAGAAAATAATTTACTTAAGAGGTGAACGGAAGGAGTCGTCTTCATACTTTCACATTACTGTTTGCCAATTTCGGTCAAATATATGCTTTTTCTTAATATAATCATCGTTCATCATAATCAGTTATTATATATACAATCATCATACACAGACAGTAGTAATTTCCTTGTGAAAATGTAATCACAAACTAAATTTCACATTTTGAGTCAGTAAATGAATTCAAAATACTTGTTTATTAAATATGTTTTAAAATATTTCCCATTTTGCAGCAATGTTACAACGGTGCAAAGTGTGCATGAAACGATTACCAAGTTGCACAGCTCTTAATGTGTCGATTTGCCTAGACTAATTAAACTCTCTCGAAGATTAAAAGATTTAACCATTGAAAGTTAAAATCTTTTTTAAGAGCCAGTTTGCTGTGTTAGATATATAAGTGCTAAACTAAACAGCTCTGATTATGCTTTACAGCGGAAAAAAAAAGATCACTTTTGATCGCATTCTGTAGAATGATTAGTTGATCATTGATGAACCTGTCGTTTGGTTCAAAAATCACTCCATCATCTTCAGAAATATTTTCGAAATATGTGGCAATTTACACTTCACGTGAAGTATTTTTCTTTACGTTGATAATCAGGTATGATAGAAGACCGCAAAATTCTATAGTGATATAATTAAAGCTGATTCCTACATTAAAGATATAAAATGAATGAAAACCATTTCTCCATATTGCAGAATTCTTTTCTATCATTGTGACCAAGCACTTAAAATCCGTTATAAATCGCCATTTTATATGAGTCTCTTTTCCACGCTTTAACGAGAATATTGTCCAAAACAATGGATATGTTGATCACGAAGACAAAATGGGAACTCGTTTAGTAGCCCACCATTGATTGGATATTTCCCACAGAGAGTTATATCTTCTATGATTGCCTTTCATCTCTACTGTGGCCATGTTCGAATCACTGTTCATATAAAAACAGGATGAATAAAACTCGGATTTTATTTGTTTAAGTGAGTTTCACATTTGATAAATGGTAATGGCTTGTTTTTTAATATTCAATATAATTTATATATTATTATCTGTGCTGAAATTCTGCGTTTGAGAAGCTGGAAAGTGATACACATATCGCCTTTAAATATTGTTAAAATGACTATTTAGAACAACCACTGTCTATAACCTCTCAAGTCTTAAGGGATAAAATTTGCCCAAAAAATTAACACTTCAAGTATTTCTAGTTTGCAATTATCGATTTTTTTTAATTAAACCTATTCTTGAATTCACAAAAGCATGTGAGCAGCTAATAAAATCTTGAAACGGGGAATAAAATGTATTTCAAGTGTTTGGTGTCTGGAATCTTTGAATATACAGAGTGTAGAGCGACGACCGTGGCTTGACGTGTATTGTGTCCTGGGTCCTCCTGATTTTCTACTTTGATTTTAAGTTTGTTCAATAGACTTAATTAAAGCAGGAACATTTGTTTACTTGGTAAAGGAAACAACGGCCCCATCGAGTAAACAGCGTCCGAAATCAACGAAAGCTGAGAGCTTTTAATTGTCCGATGTCCATTTAAAATATTGGTCATTTTAAAATACCTATTTAAATAACTGTGCGTTAATCAGGTAGAGTAAGTTGTCAAATATTGCACATGGCCGTTGTTTGGATCCAGTAATGAGCGATCTTAATTCGATCAATACCAAATAACAAGCCATATAAATAACCCTCTTCCTTTGCCAATGAACTGGGGTGCTGAGATTTGAACAGTGGATTTCTATTCTACTTTGTCATGAGGATGTCATTCTGAGAGCTCGGAATCATGGGATAAATGAACAAAAATAATGGACCTAGGCGGAGTCGTTACATTAATACTGGTTAGTATTATTATTATGGTTAGTTATAATTAAAAGTTATCTATCATTTATCTATCATTTTATTTTTCTTTAACACTTTTTAAGATCAAATACATAATCTATTGCTCTCTCTCTCTCTCGTTTTTTCATTATCTATATAAATAATGTGAGAAAATCATTTTTCAGCTGATTTTTATGAATTAAATACTAAAATTTCCAAAAATATTCAAAACTATATATGAACCATATCTCTTTTAATAATCTAAATGATCTATTGATCTTTGTGGTTTTGGAATTCTAAAGAAATTAATTCAAATTTAATAAAAATCATCCAAAGCGCTTCAAGATAGTAAGTAAAAATATATGTACTAAAATAATATAAAGTGGGCGATAATTGATAATTTTGTAAAATTTCCAATGTTCTTTATTGATTACATTTTTCTTGCATGTTGACATAATTATCTTGCATGTTGACATAATTTTTATTTATTTAGTAAACAAAAACAAACAAACAAAAACAAACAAACAAACAAAAAAAAAAAACTTGCATACAGGGGGCAGAAATGTGCCACCATAAAAATCTACTTAAAGATCTTGTATAGAAATATCTTTGTTCTCGTGTATAAAGAGAAAGAAAAGAACGGATATGTTCGTAACTTTCAAAATGAGCTTTTATGTACAGGATAAAAAAATATTTACATTGTGAGGCTGAAGTTAATTTAACTTTTGCATCTAAATAGACAGGTGTTTTTCTTACAATATCACCTTCTTTAATTATGACACTTTTGCATCACAGAATAAAAAAAACTTTAAGATATATGAGCAGCAGCCTTTTAAACGAAGGAGTGAAAAGCAAATCCTTACATAAATGTATCAAAAGATGTAAATAATAATAATAATAATTTAAAGATTCTAATGTATAAGTCTGTGTATGAACCGTTAAATAGCAATGTTAATTGTTAATGAACGGCTTTTTAATGAACTGTCTTTTAGTTAAATTGAATATCAGTTGTATGCAAATTTCCGGTGTACTGCATTTAAACATTTAGTACCAAAACGACGTATAAGATTATAAGGAAATATTTACAAGTATATTTAATTACCATATTTATCTCTTTTTTTCTTATTCAGGTTTCCATAGCAACAGTGACCGGATATCATGACCCATTTGATAATGTGAACTACCATTGCTGGCCCAAGACTGCCTCAGCAACTAGTGATACGCCGCTGCCCAAGTGTGAAGGTAGGAAATGTAAAATCAACAAATATTTGGGAAAATGAATAAAACAAGTTTACTCCTCTAATCATGAAAACCGATGAGTCCCCCGTTTGTCTTCTTTTTTTAGTGTGTTTTAGGATCGCGCAAATTAATTAAAGCAAGAAGTGTAAAATATGGCAGTTCATCTCTTACATGTACAATCTACAATTTAACACATTAAAAAAAAATTATTTAACATCATGGTCAACAGATGCACGTCAAACCACGAAAACTTAAGCGGATGGCGTTTGGGGGGGGGGGGGGGGGTAAATAACCTGAGAAAAATACACAAACTTGGACTACTGATAAAATGAAATGAAACCCCTACTGTAACAAATGTTTCCTTCATATATAAGTAAACATGAATGTATACTGTTCTATACTATGCTACAATGTCGTAAATATTGTAATTACCGGTATATAGAAAATAGCATACACACACCAAAAGGAGGCAAAATTGACATGAACCTCAACACAATATGAGTGTATATTTGCTTCATTTCCTTGAAAGTACATGTGTATCTTCAAAATACAAGTTAAAAATTAGATTTTTATTTTTTTTGTAAACGAAAACATGGAGCACGGAACCGCTTCATATTGAAGTAAACAAAACTTTCCCATCTTTTGTGAAAATATTTGAATTTCAATCATTCCAGGGTCATATTGTAATCAAGAATTGTCCTCGAGAATGGTTGGGAACCATTAAATAATAGAAGGGAAAGACAAAAACTCTTGTTATTTTATAAAATTGTGTATGGTATAGCCCCTCTCTATTTGCAAGAAATGGTCCTACCTTTTATGCCACCAAATCATGGTTACAATCTTAGGAATATTGGTAATTTTAATTTTGTCATACCTCAAGCAAGGACAGTGTCATATTTCAACAGTTTTCTGCCTTCTACTATACAATTATGGAACAATTTACCATTAGAAACAAAATGTATTGAATCTTATTCAAGTTTCAAGAATATCTTAAAGAAACATACTATAGACAGAATAAAGGATGTCAAGATCTTTAATTATGGTAATCGTAAGGAACACATTATACATTGTCAACTACGTAATGAATCTAGTAATCTAAATGCTCATCTGTATAATCAGTATTTAAGTGAAATGGCATCTTGTACTAAGTGCGGATATCCGAACGAGGATAATTATCATTTTTTCTTAGAATGCCCTGCCTATAATAATCAGAGAATGATACTTTTTGACAGTCTTCAGAGTATAATAGAATTAGAAACCCTCTCTCCTGATCAAATTTTGAATACTTTGCTATTTGGTGATAGGCAATTACCTGATAAAACTAACTGTTCAATTTTTGAAGCAGTCCAATTATACATCAAGTTTTCAAAGCGATTTTGATATTATTTCATATTTAAGTTTTAATATTAATTTCCTAATATTTTTGATATTTATACTTATTTCAAATCTCAGCATTTCCATGTATATATATTGTATTTTTTTCTTGGATATTTGTCTTTTGCACTTTCATTCTTTTTTTTATTATTATTATTGTTGTTGTTATTATTAATATTATTATTATTATTATCCAGTGTTTTTGCTTGTTCCAGATTTATTTATTTATTATTATTAATATTATTTTCTTTGCTTTTTTTCCTTGCATATTTGTCTTTTGCACTTCATTTGTTTACTTATTCTATTTTGTTGTTTGTTTGCACTCTTTTATTTTTTTTTCATTATATTGTATAGTGAGTATACATGCTAAGTAATAACTCTTGTAAATTTATTAATTTATCTCTCCTTTTTTTTCCTATTTCTAGTTAACAAAAGAAATTAATGTAACTTATTATGAATTATTTCATCATGATTGTAAATCATTGTCAATTCTTAACATTTGTAACCTTGACCTTCTTGGAGAGGACTTACATAGGCCATGCCAGATGTCCAATCCAATTATGTAAACTGACTAAATACATAATAAAATACTGATTAAATTAAATTAAATTGTCCTCGCAAATACTGCTTTAAATTAATTATTCATTTTCATTTCTTCTTTCTATAACGTAGGAAAAACTTCAGAATCTGCCAAAAAAAATTTCTGTGAAAAATGAATTGTTTGGCACAATCTGATGCCTTTTATTATAGTACATGTATAAAAACATTGATTAAGGTTCATTGAACCTCTAACAAGAGTGATAACTCTCAGTGGGATATTTCACTATTATTCCTTTACAATATTTCATACTATGTTAGTCAAATTGATTTGTTACCTGTTCTGTAGGAACGCTCCTGAGATGGGTGGATCCTCCACCCTCCACCGTTAAAACAGAAACCGCATTTAACACAACATATGAACTGATACTTACATCCGACTTCTACGCATGGGCTGTCACCCAGAACTTCTTCCAAACTAAAGGATTCACGTATGTTGTATGAAATTTTTGGAGGAAAATCTAAAATTAACAGGACATTCTATTTTGTGCAAGTTTCTTAAAATTGGTAAACTTACAAGAAGAATCGCTGTGAAGTTCACTTTTACCTCTTTCTAGTCAAGAGAAAAGTTCTAAAATCGCAATAATTAGAATCGTTGAACAATCTCAGTTGAGAACTGGAAGAATCGTTGATGAACACTTCTTAAAAAAGAACAATCTAGTTCCAATAATGATCAAATTTTTGTACTATTGTTTTCTAGCGATGGCCCCACTGCGCAGGCGTGGTGTGAGAATACGGTGTGTCCAGCAGCATCTTCGGCCACAGCTGATAACTGTTGTATTCATCACGTGAATGTCCACTCCTGTCCGAGAGCAAGAACCAGTTTCTGTGGACCATGGATTCCGCACGACGGACAGGTGTTCACGCACTCAGAGGCCCTCGTAGGCCCAGTGCAGAAGGGAAATTGGACAAGTTATGTCCCGGGATTTTATGAAAGTGGATTAACGTCGGTGATTGCACATTTTAAAGTGGCTGATATGCACTATGCTTTAGAAACTGTGATCAATGTTATTCCAAAATCAGGTTTGTATAATAATTTTTATCAAATCAATGTCAAAAAACGAAAGTACATGTACTAGTTTTATTGATACATGTATTTGATCTAATAACTATTAAAAGTATTTGCGTTACTTCGTAAGCACAAGTTTCTTTTTCAACTCTATACCACAGTAGCATTTTTAAAAAGAGAACGAAGCATGTATAACCAATGTAAGCTGTATGATAGTTAAACTGGAAATTCTTCAAGAGCCCCTTTCCTTTTATTTTTTTTTATTTTAATGAATTACGCACAATCCAATAATTATATTGTTGTTCCCAATTTCAAGAAATAATTCTTTTTCAAATGATAATTCTTAAAAGAGTTCAAAAAATGTTCGTAATTTGTTTGTCTCCCTTTTAAAGCCAAAAATCAACATGAGACATTTTCTGCTATGATATTACGGGGTTTATGATATATACACTAACTAGAGCAAAAGTCGTTTCCAAACCAACTTAATTATGCTTAAGTTGAATATCTTTTGTGATAAATTCAAATAAACAACATTTTTCTTTGAAATAATTCAAACTTTTATTGTAATTGAGTTTTGAAGTACAGAACTTCAGACTTTGTAGATAATGTCCGTGAAGGCTATCGATATTTAAGGTACAAAGGTTTGCAACATCATTTATTCAACAGCCTTCCCAAAAAAGGGAATTGACTAGCCCATTTAACGTTTTTCCTCAAAGCAATCCAACCATTAAATGTTGTTTGAAGAGCCATTTTGATCATCTGTCCATCACTTATATAATGACATATTTTCGGTAAGGATTTGTAAAGATATAAAAGTTCTAAAGGACTATAGAATTCCTAATTACATGTTAAGACAGAATTCTGTTGAAATAAATTGTTGCTGTATTTTTTATGATGATCAGATTATCTTATCTACAATAAATTGTTGATCAAACTTGAGCTGGTAGCTCAGGTGAGCTTTTTTGTTCAGATTTTTTTCGTCTTATTTTTACCTACTTACTCATTAAAACTTCGAATTATTTTTTCAGAAAGCACGACAATGTAGTAATTTCAATCAAATAACAGTGAAACTTTTAGATTATTTTTTAAGAATCCCCAATTCGTGTAGGTTTACTTATAAATCATTTATTTATTTATGCCCTAAGGTGAGATTTTGGCCTTAGTGAAGGACAAAATTTAAGAAATGAAAATATATAGGAAAATAATTATGAAATACTTCTACAGGACAACAGGACCACAAATGCATAATCAAATAATATACAAGTATAAACTGTTGTCTAATGTCTAGATTATAGTACTGCACATAAATGAAGTGTAAGTCTTCAAAATTTGGATAACGAATAAAAACGAAATTCTGGTGAGCGTAGTAGCCCATGGGCTCTTGTTGAGTTATCGGATGAAGACTTTCCTCTCCCACGACTCCCTGTTTTACAGACTAGGTACTCTTTTTTATATTGGATGAATGAACACAATCATGTCATGTAAATGTCTAAACTAAGTAATTGGTAGTTATTCAAAAAAGAAACAATAAGAAATCAGAGATTTGGGTGAGTGCACTTCGAATCCTAACAAACTGCCAAAATAAATGAAATATGGAGATAACGAACAGTAATCAAGTTCAAAAGTCCATTGAAACAATTAAAAAAAGGGAGCAGAGCAAACACGGGCTTCTAAAAGCATGAGAGGTGGGATCAGGTGTCATGGAGGAGAAAGCATCCCCTGTCGACCGGTCCACCTGCCGTGTGCTCCTTGTCATGATCGGGTAAACGTAAAAATCTGTAGACATACATGCCAACTTTTGAAAATTCCCATGGGGGATTTTGCGCGTGACGACAATTTTCAAAGCTTTAAATTCGCGACATTTTGTCGTGAAAATAAATGTTTATCCCATTTTTTTTTTTATTATTTATAATATCAATATCACTTGTTAATACAATTTAAGAATAAATAATACAAACAAATTTTTTCCTTCCAAAATTCAATATCTTTTGCTTAAATAGGTACCTCTCTCACTAAAGAAGTGATATCTGTGTAGTTTAACAACATTATGTTTTAAAAAGACACATAATTTGGTGAAAAATGTGAAATTGTACAACTTTCAGTTCAGTAAATTTTGTTTTTAAGTTTTAGAAATATATGAGGTTTTGTTACTGTACAGTTTCTGGGAAACATTTGTAAAATTCTCTATTTACATTTTACACAATTAGAATTTCCTAATTAGACATTAGATTGAAAGAAATATTGAAAAATTACAATGCACTGTGTGTGTGAGGGTGAGAGAGAGAGAGAGAGAGAGAGAGAGAGAGAGAGAAAGATAAGAAAATTTGTTTGTTTTGAAGTGTCATTTTATTCCCTTTTAATAAGTAGACATCATGATGATTAATTTAATCACACACACAAAACAAGTTGAAGAAATAAATTTACTCTTGAGATCATCAATTATTTAAAACAAGGATACCCCTATCCCAAACAAAAATTAAAATTGTTATAAACATGATGAACTTTTGCATAATATTGGCAGTGTCATGTGGGTATTCCACTGTCATATTACATTGGGGGGGGGGGGGATTCAGTGTACTTGAGGGTATAAGACTTTGTTGTTTCATCTAAATTATTTTCATCTTATTTTAACCGGTAAACTTTACAATATCTTAAAATCAGCAGCTATGCTTTGTTGTTTTCTACCTTTCGTTTTTAAAAAAACGAAACATGGATTAATTCCGATTTTGTTGTTAGTTTATCATATCACTGTATTCAATTTTTGTTTTTAATAAAATGATATTTAATTATACCCTAAATCTATGTGTTTCACTATATGCATACCCCTTCTGACTGAAAAGTTTAATCCTCTAACTGCTCCAGGCTATGTTACCTGTACCTGGACAGCTGTGTGCGTTCAAGCGAGAAGTGATTTCCTGTGGCTAATTAACACCTCTGCATGCGTTAAATAAACAAAGAGACTAATCTGTGTGCATTGAATAAACAAGTCTGATATTCTAATCCCGATTGACAAAATATTGCGGTAGGGAAACTCAGAAAATCGGAAATTTTAGGTTGAATATTTTCAAATCGGGATTTTTGGGCAATTTTGCTTTCCCGATCGGGAGAGCGGGATCAAAGGGTAAAATCGGGAGGATCCCGCCTAAATCGGGAAAGTTGGCATGTATGTGTAGACGATTCAGTGTTTAGAAAATGGCATAAAAATTAGTATGGAAAACGTCAGTCGGCATTCGACTTAATGATAAATTGTATTTGCTGACAAGATCATTGTATCAATCATAGAACTTGCGAAATGTTGACTTCAAATGAGACTGTTGATATCATTGATTCATCAACTTGTTTGCCAATAGCTTGCTTCGTTTTAGAAATTGTTCGTACGTAGAGCATGCTCTTGCTTATCGAATCAACTGGGAGACAAACTCCATATAAAGGTGATAAGATTTTATTGCGACATAACTAAGGGAAGTTGACGATCGAAAAGTTGAAATTATCATGTTTATCATATAATGTTTTGTTGTTAGGTTACCATTAACGTCTCTTTTTTAGCAAAATATCCAAATATGAAACAAATGTGTCAGACTCTGTAGTATCTTTTATTTCAAGATCACTGAGATATATCGAGTCGTCATATGAATGGAAGAAACTATTGTTAGTTGATAATACGTCGTCGATATATCTAAATGTCGAGTTCAAGGCCACAACATGCATGTGTTTTCTTCTTCTCATGTAGAAGTTTTTTTAAAATAAATTCTGCTTCATATGAATATGAAAATAGGTCTGCTAATAAAGGGGCGCAGTTTGCACCTATACAAATTCCGACAGATTGTTGGCAGACTTGATCTCCAAAACTACATTCATGTAGATATTGCAAATCAGAATTCAATCATCTTTTTAAAATCAACTTTGGAGTACATGTATGTACATGTACAATCAGAATGTTTTTTAATAAAATAATTTTGCAATATTACCAATGACAAGGTAAGCAAATTTATGAGTTCCATTTCTATTGAAAAATAAGCTGCCTATGATGTCGAAAAGAATGGACTTAAACTTACTGTGAAAAATGGTCAGGAGTGTTGAAAAGTCGTATGTTTTGATGTTATTGATTTCTGTAAAATTTTGTGATTTCAAATTTTCTAAAAGTTCTTGGAATTTTTAAGTATCCATATCTGATTTACACCACTTCTCGAATATATTGTTGCACAGTACTCTGAAGTTTCTCCTTCACTGCTTTTAATATTTTAGTGAAGAGTAAAGAAAGAGACAGAAAATTTACTAGAATTTAACCTGTTATGTATCTTTGTTTGTAAGGATTTTTATGTAGTATAGAATATAAGTTATAATCCGAATTCAATTTGATTGTTGGGAATATCAGAAGATTTAAAACTGACATATGCTTTTGAAGAATTTCCTCCTTAGAAAAGTAGGTATGGGTATAAGTTGGATTACCACTTACAGAATTAAATCCCAGCTCCTCTAAAATACAATTAAAATAATGAACTTTACAAAGAAAATGTTGTTACCTGGTTTGTCAGCTGGGACCAATACAAACTGGTCGTGTAATCTATCTAATTCTTTTATCACTTCCGAATTACTGAAGACAGAAGGATATATGGTTTTCACATTGCTCCTCAATCGCTTAATGCGAGATTTAGAAAAAAAAATCGAAATACTTTTTTAATACTGCTTAAACATTCTTGAAATTTCACTTCTCGAAGTATTTCGTAGAAAAAGCACGGACAATTGCATCCATTTTTAAAAAAAGAAATTTGTGATATTTCAGAACTGAAAATGACATCATCAAATACTAAATTATATATTCCCATAATTAAGAAAATGTTTGAATAATTTGTTAAGGTTTAAATTAATCGCATACATCGCCCCCCCCCCCAAAAAAAAAATGCTTGTACAAAATTCAGAATTAAAGGAAGCAAAGGGAAGAAATATAACTGGAAGATCTCCCACACATCATCAGAAAGTTTGTCAGATGGAAAAATGTTTTGTGATCAATTTGAGCTAGTGAAAATGCAACTAAATTCGACAGATGTTTAAACTTGATACATATTGGGTAGATGTTTCAAATAAAACTATGTGAAAAAAATGAAATTTTGATTATCGACATTATTGGTGCATTTTTTTAATTTTCATAACTTTGAAATTAACAAATTTAGAAAAAATGTAATAGAATTGAATGCAAACTGATTAGTTCTCCAATGAAATATGGAGATAGCGAACAGTATTCAAGCTCAAAGTCCATTAAAACAATACAAATCGAGAGCAGAGCAAACACGGACCTCCAAAAACATCAGAGTTGGGATCAGGTGCCAAGAAAGATTTCAAAGCTTCGACAGAATCTGCCCTGACAATGATATTATATTGTAATATAAGGAAAGGCGAACGAACTATTCAATACCATTTACTAGAATCTTATTAAATAAAACATATAACAGAATTCAGTAAATTATAAGGCATAAATAACATTATACCTAGATCAAATGAAATCATATTTGTTTTGTTTAATTTTCATCAAAATATCAATTTTTCACACAGCATGGCTAAAATATGAGAAATTATTTTTCACAAGCAAGTTTGAATGGTCCATTATACGCTGACAGAATCCACTTTGTAAATAATTGTTTAATTTTTCAGTTCATGAACTATATCAATAGGATTTTTCTTCCAGATTTGCTCTGTGAAATTAGTAGGATGTTTACTTTTAGTTGTTGCAAAGAACCCGTATAATGTGTTCTTAACTGAATTGTTTTGCCCGGCCTGTCCGTCGAATTATGAAAGCTCTACATTACTGTTTATAACAATATATCAAGTGTTTGGTTACTTATGGTACTTTGTAAGGTTAGTCAAACAAATGGCAGTTGAAGTTATTTGTCGTCAAACATTAATGTACTCTGAAACACAATGAAACTTCCTATGTACAGGTGACGGATAAAACTAAACTGATTTTGTGGTATCTGAAAATTCTACAAACAATTCTGAATATACTTGCTTACTTACAAAGAAGTACAAGTTAAAATCTTATGAATTCTAAGTAAAACAGATTTTTTTAAAACTACTCTAGCAATTTTTCTATTAGATACCAGAAACATTACAATGAGCTCGAGGTATTGCCACTTCAAAATGTATATAGGTTACTCCGTTTAAAAAAGATCTACTGTTCAATTTTGAAATGTTTTCTATTTTTAGATAAAAGCGTGAAGTTGTTGCACTTAGGATTCTTCTGTAATGCTTTCTCTCTATAAACTTCTAGTGGTATTAAGTTTCACTTCTACAAACAATAAGATTTAAAATATATCCAAAAGTTATGTATAAAAAAAAACCTTATTAAGCACGTTAAACATGTCAAGTTACATTTTTCAGTGAACTGCTGTTTTGCTAAGTGATTATCGATGTAGTTATTAGAAACAAACCATCTCACATGTTTCTCACAAATTAAGAGCTTCCTTTCAAAGAGTTATATAGCATTTTAATTACGCACCATGATTGATGTATGACTTCCGTTTCAGTCTGTGGAGACGGAAGTTGTGACAAGGACCTATCAGAAGACTGCTCTACCTGCCCAAGGGATTGTGGGAAGTGTCCTCTTCAGGCACATGAGATTGCTCTTATCGCTGTCTTCTCCTGTCTCGTTGTCATCGCAGGAGTCATTGTATTCATCGTATGTGAAGTTTTGTAATGAAATTATAATGAACTTTATCAAAACAAGGTGTGCATAAAAGTAAAAAACTTCCATGGTTATAAAATTTCTCCTTCAATTCATAGTGACGTTAGGTACTTTTCTCTATATGTAGTGGATTAATTTCCTACAAAAAATAAAGGTATACCCGGTATTTGACGCTAAATATATCGTAAAATACAAAATAATTAATAAATAAGTATATCATATATCGATATATAGAATAAGATGTCTAGAAAGATGTACATGTAAATAGAATAGTACAGGTATATTATAAAGTACTTTATCCGTTAAAGGTTAAAACATCTTGCCTTCGGAAATTTGTCGAATCAGATTGAAAATAAAAATAATGGGAAGTATTTTGATAAATTAGATCATAGGGTGGTGGTGTTAAATGCATGTAACAAAAAAAAAACAAAACAAAAAACAAAAAAAAAACCTTTACATTTTTTTTCTATACCATCGTATCGGAGTTGGATCAAACTCTTAATATTTTTTGTTTTCTGATACCGATTTAGATTCTACAAGTTACATATATCTGAAGGTTGTAGATGTTACACAGTATGCAAAAATTGAGTTAAACCCATAAAGATTTTCTTAATCATTTGAACAGGATATTGTGAGAACATCTGTCATTGACATAGCAGGGCATTCTTTTTTTATCAGAAAAAATTTTCTTTACAGTATTTCCAGTATCAGAAACGAAAACTACTTTGGGATGAAAGTTGGATTATTCCCTATGAAAAAGTCCATGAAGGTATCAAACTATCAATCCTTATGGAAATTGATTTTAATTTTTTTAAACATAAATATTAGTGTTTTTATAATTAACGCCATTTTGATTACAAGATGAGGGTCTCCGTGGAGCTTTTGGTAGTATGATCAGTGTCAATATGGGCGCCAGTGCGGACCTTACAAGTGGTACAACTAGTAACATGTCATTGTCCGCTCAAAGAAAACAAGTCTTTGCTAAAACTGCCATTGTGTGAGTAGTACTTCAATAATTATTTTAGTATGATAGAAAGGCGGATTGAGCACAAAATAGGGAATAGACTTTATAAATGCAGATAAACTTTTTTGCATATTATTACATATTAATCAAATGACTGATAACTTTGCAAACATTTCGATAATTGGACAACCATATTTACATGTATATCTGCTCAGTCAGAGGTCTGGTGAATCTGAAATTTGGAACACGTTAAATGAATAAGGTGAAGATAACGAACATTATCGATCTCAAAAAATCTACAAACGTTACAAATATGTAAACAGGGCATAAAACATGACCCCTGGAGATTCCAGAGGTGGGATCAGGTTCCTAGGAGGAGTAAGCTTCCCCTGTCGACCGGTCACGTGAGCTCTATGTATTGATCAGATAAACGGAATATTGCGTAATATAAAAATAAAATAAAGAATAAATTCAACAAAATGCAGTATGACGATTCCTATATCTCTTCATTTAAAACATAGGCATGAATGTAGACAGAGTATTGGGTACAGAAAAAATTCTGATATTAACAGAAATAAATTAATTTTTTTTCTACGTCACATTAGTGGAGTTCCACAAGTTTCGCCTACTTATCTGAAACAGTTATTAAATTTCTATGATAAAAATTTGTATAAATCTTTCTTAATAAAAAAATCATGGAATGAAAAATATTTTGTTCATGTAGAAATTAAAAATAGTCTTCTTGCACTGACCATATTTTAATTCATAAAAAATACCCAAATTTCATGTCACTGTAGAATATTCTTTGTACATACTTCAACTTTCGTGTATTAGTATTCTTTGCATAATCTTTAGAAAAAAAAATCATTACAGCATTGATATTATGACTTTATGGTTAATATACATGTATATTATGATAATTTGCTTTTACTTATTTAGAAATCATTATATTTAATTTGCTTTTACTTATTAAGAAATCATTATATTTATATGTAATGCATGCACAATAGATTATTTAATCTTTGCATTTTTATTCTCATAATCACTGGTGGATTTTGAAAAAGGGGGGGTATATACATAAGATTAATATTTTTTTTTTGGGGGGGGAAGGGGGATATTGCACTAATTATACCTAAAATATAGCTGAAATAAGTCAAAGAAACTGTTCCAAAAATCCTTAAATCTGAGAGCTTTCAGCGGCTTCGACCCTGGGCCCCCACCCCGAACCTCACCCCCCTTTCAAGAATCCTAGATCCACCACTGATTATCTACTTTAATCTTTAAGCGAGGGAAAAACTGTTGCCGTTCGTAACGTGAAGAAAAAAGAATTCACTTTGACGAAAAACATCAGGATTGAAGTTAAAGAAGTCAGGTAAATAACCTGAAATAAATTTATTACCTAATAAAATATATTTTTTTTTCTTCAGAACTTTTTAAAATTATCTTAAGTTTTTACATGTAATATCTATAGAATTTCGTGATGATAAATAACCTTTATTTATTTGAATTGTACACTTTTGTTACTTTGACAAAGTATGAAAAACATACATTGACGATTGTAGAGAACTGGATCATCAAAACCTCTGTAAACTGGTAGGTTGCTGTACCGAAGTAGCAAACTTCTGTGTCTTAGTGGAGTATTGCCCCAAAGGAAGCATCAGCGACGTCTTGTTAAATGATGATATTCCACTGAACTGGGCATTCAGGTAAAAATTGAAGAATCAAGACCAATTGCAGCAATACCTAACCAACCAAAATAAAAAAAAAAACCCAAGCGAAAAAGCAACCAAAAAAAAAAAAAACGAAGTTCTGATTTTACTGTTTGTATTATACCTTTAGGTTCTCTTTTGCAACGGATATAGCCAGAGGAATGGCCTATTTACACTCTAACAAAATTATCCATGGACATTTAAAAAGTAGTAACTGTGTAGTAGATGATAGATGGACAGTAAAAATTACAGGTGAGTATAGAGTCCGGACTAGTCTCGTAAAGCTTATATTTAACCTTTAAAAATTTATAATGTGATTTGAGAAAAAAAAAAATACTACTGCTACGGTAATTAAAGTAAATGAAAATCTGAAGGAATTCACTTCATTAAAGAATATATATATTACCGTATAAATTTTGTTTCTTACTCAAAATTTCAAGACTTTGGGCTGACGGAAATAAGGAAGGACGACGAGATGATACTAACTGAAGATGACAAAGAGGATAGATATTACAAAGATAAACGTAACGAAGTCTACATAGCACCGGAACTGAAAGATGGCGCTAGTGTTCCAAGCTGTAATGGTGACGTGTATTCATACTCCATCATTCTTGTGGAAATAGCCACCCGGAATGATCCATTTGCAGTACGTACTAATAAAAACAATAAGTTCCAAAGGAGATGGGGGAACAAGGCGTGCAGAATGCCTATAGCTTTAGATATATAAAAATCATATTCAATTCAATATTTGAATTTTGCATTTAGAGTAAAGTTCTAATTAGTGAAATTTATGAAATAACGATAAACTAAACTTTTCTGAGGAAAATTTTCTCTGCAATTTTTTTTGTTATTAAAAAATAATGTGGTACTCTCAGGGTTCGAACCCTAGCAATAAAAACTCCGTTTTATTTTTTTTCCTTTGAGACCAACGGGCTAACCACTACGCTACAACAACTCTTGATAAATAGCGGCATTTAATGTTTGTAATATGACCCTTGACTAAATGTGTATTTTTTAGGTATAGTGGGTCTTTGCTCCATATTTTTGCTAAACGAAAAATGTACTTTTTAACGCAAACTTTAAGGATAAACTTTCAAAAAAATGGAGCGAAGACCCATTCATATCGAAAAATTGTTTTATGGTGTGAGAAAATGATCCTTTTTGCCCTTTTTACTGCGTGTATGCTATTTCATAGGCAAATATTTTCAATCTGTGAGAATTTTGCAAATTTTGGAGATTTTACATAAAGTATACCTTAATGTTAGATGAAATATCGAAGAAAATTCTGTTATAATTGTGATTTAATTTTTCACCTTCATGTTTGTCGCACTATAGGCACTTCGCTCGCTTTGTTCGCCCATCTTCTTTTTTCCCAGTTTTTAGTGCCTATACAATCTAATCTTTTGATATTAATAGGAAGAAGATCCCTTTGACATTCCTAAATTCTGGAAGCCACCTCTCCCTGATTTATCACCGGAAATGGCTGAGGATGCTGATAGCGCATGTCCATGCCCAAAAGACTATAAGATTGTATGTTCAGATATACAAGTTTTAGATTTTTTTAAATATAAGACTATGCTTAACATGTAATAAATTGAAATGCTATAGCTTATGTTGTATTAGATTCTGAATATAAAAAGTCTTGGTATCAGATGAACACTAGAACTTTTTAAAAATAGTAATGTTTCTTAAAGAAATCATACTTTGAGGAGAAGTAAAGAAACCGTGAAATTGTGTGTTACAGTTAATTGCTGACTGCTGGAACGACACACCCATAAACAGACCTACCTTTGAAAGCATCAAAAAGACTCTACACAAAATAAATCCACACAAAATGAGCCCAGTGGACTTAATGATGAACATGGTAGGTCTTAAGAAATATATTTTAAAATCAATGCATTGTAATTGTCCAGAATTTTGTAGAATTTATGAACTCATTGTCATGAATTGTATTTAGATGGAGAAGTATTCAAAACATTTGGAGTCCATTGTTGCAGAAAGGACACAAGAACTTGTCGTTGAAAAGCAAAAGACGGACAGGCTATTATACAGTGTGTATATTTTATTAAAGAACCAATGCAATAATGTTCTATTAGATATCACTATTAGGGTAAAAATCTTATAATTCGTTCAATTTCCTATCCTCACATTCACGGTATAAGCAGTGAATCTCTCGTAGGTATGTTACCAAAACAAGTTGCAGACGATTTGAAACTTGGGAGGAGAATAGAAGCAGAATCGTTTGACGCTTGCACAATCTACTTCAGTGATATAGTTGGATTTACTTCAATTTCCGGCGGAAGTACCCCTATCCAAGTGGTGGCATTGCTTAATCACCTATACACAACCTTTGATTCCGTAATCGACAAATACGATGTTTACAAAGTTGAGACAATAGGAGATGCTTGTAAGACTGTTTATACAATCTTGTAAGAGATTTTTAATTGTTGACATGCATGTACGAGGTGAAATTAATTTTGCGTAATATTCATAAAGCACTCTTGAAAACAAGTAGGCAAAGTCCTTCAAATTAATTGTCTACAAAGCATGCATGTATTTTTGTTTTTTAAAACCACCAGTGAAAATCAACAGAAATTGCCTATTATAATTGTATTTTTAGCCATCAAATATATGAACAAAATTCCGTTTTTAGTTTATACGTGCAGAATTTTCTTTTATTCTCTATGGGGATTGTAAAAATTTGTTAACTTTTTTTAAGACATGGTGGTCTCTGGAATACCTTGTCGAACACCCTTTCATGCACGCGAGGTTGCCAACATGGCGATTGATCTAGTGTCTGAATGTACAGTTTTTCAAATACCTCATCTACCCGACACTCCACTTAAGATCAGAGTGGGATTACATTCAGGTTTGTCTTGAAGAAAATAATTTTACTTGGTGACATTGTGATACCCTTTCAAGAAAAACAGATATATTAAGTATTCACACTGTGACTTCAGGTTCTGCCTGTGCTGGCGTCGTAGGTCTGAAGATGCCACGGTACTGTCTATTTGGGGACACCGTCAACACAGCGTCCAGAATGGAATCAAATGGCGAAGGTTTGGTTTTCATTTATCAAAAAACAGAGAGTGATCTCTTCTTGCAAATGAACATTTTTCAAAGAGGATTAGAATGTCAACGCTAATGATAGGTTGTTGCTTTTGATTTTTCCAGCATATAAAATCCACATCAGTAACTTTACGTACCTAGAGTTAAAGAACATTGGCGGCTACCGGTTTGAAAAACGTGGCACAATACCTGTTAAGGTCTGTATCTATGCAGTCGTATGTAAATATTCCAATACCATTATTTTCATCAAAAACAGTTGTTTTCTATACAATAAGCAATTCCTTTTTTGTGCTGAGAATTACGTTAAAAATAAAATAATTTAAAAAAAAAAACAAAACAAAAATATCTTTGATGTGAAAATAAGCATAATATTCCATCAAGTAAAGATTTTCTTTTTCTTAATTCTTTACAGAGACAACGATTGCTTTTTATTGTTATGAAATAAATTTTATAGAGGCAAATGTTCAGAGATAAACCTCATCTGATATCTAATTGTTTATTTTTAATTTTTGAGCTGTATGATGATTAGATACGGGGGTACCTCCTCTTAGAAAAAGTCTATGATTAATTTCTTTTCATTTTCTAGGGAAAAGGTGATATGGTCACGTGGTGGCTGCTTGGCAACGACAAAAAGGTTACCGGAAGCTCAAACAAAGATGCTGCTCCGGTGCAGCAAAATGTTTTGGCTCCGGATAACATAAAAAATGATATTTTAAGTGAAGAACAAAAACAAGATCTGGGTGACTTCAAAGAAGAACAAAATAACACCCTGCAAAACACCGAGGACATCCGTTATGTATCAGATGATAAATTGTTTACCCCGGTAGAGCTCCCAGGTACGTACATAATTACTAATCATAAACTCAGTATAAATTGATGCATTTGTTAACCAGATGCATTTCTGATCAATTTATGCAATTTATCTTGGTAATTATTTACTTCAAAGGTGCCCGTAGGAATTTAATTACGAGGGTTGTCCCAGAAAACGCGAACTTTTAAGATAACTCATAAACTACCCGACCAAAATTATTCTTTTTTTAAATTGTTGGGATATGATATTTTCGTTATTTTGACTTAATATTAGAATGTTGTTTTGTCATATGAAAACAGAAACGGCAATTGAAGGTGCCGAATACCGTTAGATGGCGCACAGCAATTTTTTAACTTTAAGAAATACTGTTGTCATGGATGTTTTCTCTATCACCACAGTTTATGAAAATATGTAAGAAAATTTACATCGATAAAAACTCTATGATCTGAAGTACCAATTTGTGAAAATCTATTAATATAAAATCATAAATGGCAATTATATGACGTTTTTTATACACGTATTGTCAAAATGACAACGTTGAATGTTTAGTGTGGCACACCAAATTATCATTCAATACTGTATTGAGCGGAGTATGACTCCGATTCATACGGGAAAAGGGAGAGAAAAACACTGAAATGCACAAACATGTGTCTCGGACACTGGTTTGTACTTGAAACAAGAGGTTCAAGACATGCTTGGTAGATTCCAAAAAAAAAAACAAACTGAAAAGTCAGGAGCTTGCCGTCATGCTTATAGATCGAACTTCGAAGTTTATGATTGGGATTAGGAAGTTGTCTATTAAAAGAATTAAGAACAGGTGATACAAACAAATCTTTATCAAAAATTTCGAAAATAACAACTTAATTCGTGATTATATAAATAAAATGAAAAGGTTCAAGCGCATAGATTTTAATTTTTCATTCATAGCTTCATAATACTTTAATTTATGATTGATTGTATGTTGTTTAACGTCCCTTTCGAGAATTTTTCACTAATATAGCGGTGGTGAAGGGCTTCGAATTTAGACCTTTATTTGGCACTCAAGGCAATTGAATAGTGAGGGTTCTTTATCTTGCCAATGCCTACCGTGACACGGTGCCTTGTTTTTAAGAGCCACAACTTTCACTTCAAAGTGCCGAGCGCTTGGCGAAGGAACAGTTGCTACCTATTTTTTGTCGACTTAGGACTTCCGATCACGGAGCGAGCGCGCCGTGACGGTCAATTTGATTTACAGTGACAAAAAAGTGAATAGATTAATAAGAATGGTAGCAAAAAGGTGGAATTTTGAACATCGTAGAAAGTTTACAATTCTCTAATATTTTAGAAATTAAATACTGTGGAATCATTAGATTTCGTGATTGCTCAATTTTCGTGGAAATCGTGGGTACCTCTCATCCACGAATCAACATCCTCCAAGAATTAATAAACTAGGGTTACAAAGTCTTATTTCCTTCTTTAGGTATAAGAGAATACATGAAATTACGGCCCTACGAACCTGTAAAATTTACGCAACCCACGAAAATTGATCCCCACGAATTTTCATAATTAAACAGTATTCGCATCATCATCTTCGCTAGCCAAGGGTTTCTGATACGCTACTCTCCTCATAAGCTTATGAGGAGAGTAGCGTATCAGAAACCCTTGGCTAGCGAAGATGTCGCATCATTTACAATCAAAATAGGTTAAAAAATATGTACCAATCCATTCATCCTTTTTTTTTTTGGTATCATCTGTCTTTAATTTCGAGATCATTTTTTGATACTTATTGTAAACATGTCCAAAATGGGTACTTTGCTTATCAACTAAAAATCAAATGTAGTGTCGAATTTCTGCATCAATAAAATCTTTAAAATTCGATAGAAAAGAGGCTCAATTACTAAAATATTCTACAAACGCCCGGCATAAGTTTCGTTTTGATGTCGTGGGTGTTGCGCCGACCGCTATTGTGTAAGATTCGTTTGACTAAGAGGAAACTATTATTGAGATATTTCGTTGAAATTTATATGTAATATTAAAAGAAAATGTTGATAAAGATGCATGCCAATTCTTAACTTTATAAAATTGTTGGTAAAAAAAATATTGAAAATCTTCACTTTTTTCAGAGACAACCCTTTAACTGCATCTTTTCTTAACATCTTTTCCTATTTATTCAATAACATATTAACACGTTTTGAATACACTGTCAATTTTATATGCATCAAATGTATTTTAAGACTGTTTCTAAATCTTATTGTTCGAACAACAAAGATTAATTTTAAGCAGAAAATCAAGACAAAATCAACAATAAACACAATAGTAAACTTTTGTTACATTGCAGACGAGAAACCCAAAACAAGAAAAATAAGTCAGATAAGTACATCAAACGATTCCGGGTACAACGAGAAGCAGGGATCCGGAAGTCTGAATGACGTAAACGAAATTGTCGTGAAAAGCTATGCTTCTCTAAATGGTAAATAAATGAAAAGTCTCGTTAGGTTATTTGAACATTTTCACCTTGTTATTTCTAGGTTTTTATATTTCCTTTTTTGTTATGTTTATGCTGTAAGTTTTATTACCCTTTGTTATTTTTAGGCTCTTATATTCCCTTTGTTGCTATTTTTAAGTTGTTAAATTGCCTTTGTTGTTATTTTTTAGCTGTCATATTTCCTTTTGTTGTTATTTTTAAGCTGTTTTATTTTCCTTTGTTGTTATTTTTAAGTTGTTATATCCCCCTTTATTGTTTCCCATTGTTGTTATTTTTAAGCTGTTATATTGCCTTTGTTGTTATTTATTAGCTGCTATATTTTCATTCGTTGTTATTTTTAAACTGTTTCATTTCCCCTTTTTTGTTATTTTTTTTAAAGCTGTTATATTTCCCTTTGTTGTTTCCCTTTGTAAATATTTTTAGTGATACTGGTATTTCTTTTTTTGTGATTATTTTTAAGTTATTATATTTTCCCTTTTACAGATGCACTCTCTGAAGAACAGGAAGAAGTTCGAAACAAGAAAACGCAATTTTTGATACCTGATGACCAAGAGTAGCTGTTAGAGTATCCATTGTGTCATTTCATTGAATATATTTGCTAAATATAATACACATTGAAAAAAAGATTATTTTTAAATATTTCTGAACACAGAAAATAAGACATTTTATTTGTACTTTGTTATGTATTCAGCTGCATACGATGATGCACATCTTGTTTACGCAATTTCTATTTTATTATTGAAAGAAAGCTATTCAGACTAACAATTGTGTTCTTGTCAGTAGAACGAATTTGAAAATTAATTCATTTATATTAGTATTATTTCATATATGACTAGAGATTGTCTTCATTGAGAAGTGGAAATCACCAAATAATCGATATCAGGAAAACCTGTTCACCGATACGTCAGTATGGTACAAATGAATTCTTTGCTGAGCTGTGAAAAAGGAGTTCTTAAAGACGTATAAAGCCTTAAAATTTTCACAATCGACTCTACATAAACATGTTCATTTCATTCAACAAATTGTCAACTGAATTTGCGTTCGAGGATGTTCCGTTCGGTAAAGAACGCACGCGCAATATGCCGGGATTTTGTGTTGATATGTCACAGAATTGCTCAACTTCTAATTTCGTAATAGTTGGGACGCTTTTTTGTCTGTCTTCTCCAAGAAGCCAGTAGGTCTGCATTTCACCTTTGCCCTAAAATGAAAGGCATTTCAAAGTGTATGTGTATATATATGTATATAGCTGGTATCATGAAATATTACCATGGCCATAAACTTTGATAATCTAGAGTTTTCCACATGATTTTATAATTCTTGTAAATTTCTTTCACTACCTTAGTCAAACATATAATCGTAAATATATCGTTATATATAGTAAACAATGGGTCGATCATTGTTAAAATTTCTTGTTCTCACTTACTTTGACTTGTATTTTCTCACGTGCCTCAAACTTGAAATTTCCATTTTGTAATAGTTTATACGTGTTTCCACTAATATGAATTTTATAAGCTAAAAACAAAAGAATATAAAAAATCTCTGAAATATAATTGTTAATTACCTAAAATAGAAGTTTGAAATATCAGAAACAGAGTAAGAGTAACTGTAAGATAACCTTCTCCAGTGGATTCCATTCTTGATGCCGTGTTTACAGTATCACCAAACAGACAATACCGAGGCATCTTTAACCCCACCACTCCAGCACAAACAGTACCTTAAGAAACAGCCAAAAACAAATAAAAAATTTAATTTTCTTATTCGTAACATTCAACTTTCTTATTCGTAACATAACCTGTATTCTACGATGCTCTGTTTTTGGTATTTATTGCCATTTAGTGATATCACCTATTCGAATAGGTGATATCACTCATTTCAATTGAATAAGTGATATCACTTTTTCAAATAGGTGATATCACTTTTTCGAATAGGTGATATCACTTTTTTCGAATTTGTGATTTCACTTATTCGAAATAAGTAGGTGGTATCACCAATTCGAATAGGTGATATTGCCTATTCAAATTAAATAACTGATATCACCTATTCGAATGGGTGATATCTCCTATTCTAATTGGTGATATCATCTAATCGTTTTGAATTGTTGATTTCACTTTTTCATTTCTTAAACAGTAAATATTAAATTGTCCCTTCATCAAGACAATATACCGGTAGCTTCAATGCAAAGTATAGAATAAAATTATAAAAGAGCAATTTTTTCTTAGCATTGAAACAAAATTGATGATATTGACTTTGTGTTACTCTTAAACAAACTTTTTAAAAAATATTGTAAAAGTTTCTCTGGACTTTTTGAACTTAATTTTAGCCACAACCTCTACTATTTCGGCATTGCAATTCAAAAGCTGCAAAGGTGATATCACCGATTTGAATAGGTGATATCACTTAATGGCAGTAAATACATGTACCAAAACGGCCCCTTCATGATATTCGCATACTTCTTTTTATAAATCACCATCTGGCATGTTATTAATGGTGTGATGAATGAAAAGTTTTGGAAGTAATAAAATATATAATAATGCAGTAAAAAGAGTATAGCAATTACCTGAGTGAATACCAACTCTAATTTTGAGTTTTTGTCCGGGAAGGTGTGGTATGGCAAACACCTCACACTTTTTTACCAAGTCTATTGCCATCCGGGCTATTTCAGCAGCGTGCGTAGGGTAGGGTTCGGGGACACCTGAAGCTACCATATCTTGAATAGGGTTGTAAAATATACACATGATCAATACATTCCAAAGAGCAAGAAAAGGAATTGAATTTTATTTGTATCTGGAATATAATTACCTAATACTGTATACATGGTTATTTTTGCCCTTTCTCTAACTTGCAAACAATTTTGCTCCGTTTTAAAGAACTATATGCGGTATATGCATATTTTTGCCCCCATAGAAGTCATATTTTGAAAATTTCTTGAAATGTACTGCATTGTATATATTGATTGAGAAACATAAATTAACAAAAAATATTATACTTTCAAAGAAGGTTATTGACAATTTTTGTTTCTTTGACGTCACAAACTATTCGGATTTTGTATTATTTTTCAGAAAAAGGCAAAAATGGACAAAATTTGATCAATTTTTACCATAAAATTTATAGAGCGCAGGCCTGCTCAAGAACAATATTTACATATTTCATTGATATTATCATTCTACACATTATATAAAAATAATGAGTCGGAGCAGACTTGCGCTCGGTGACTTTTACTCAAAATATTGACGTAATATACACCTTTTCCTGTAAAAATCACGGAAATTCAGAATTTACGTCATTTTTCTGACGACATATCTAAAATTTGGCGTCATGGCTTAGGAAAATATTCAGTGCTTTGACGTCTGCAGATATCCCCCTGTTTTAGAACATAATAATATATTTCTCTGTCAAAGTTTGATTTTGAGGGCAAATATTGGTCATTACTGAATATAGTCCTTTGCCCTTTGATATATATATATATATATATATATATATATATATGTATATGTATATGTATATATATTAGAAATTATACTGTGTTCTTTGAATTTGCCCCGTTTTAAATTCTCCCACCTGTGAGTAGGACGAAAGGGGCGAAAATAAAATTGGCGACATTTTCCCTGTTTACTGTAAATATAACTTACAAGCATCCCCAATAGTTTCCACTTTGTAAACATGATAAAGTTCTATAACCTCATCGAAAGTTATATAGAGTTTATTAAGGAGATTAACAACATCCATAGCAGTACTGCTTGAGCAGAGTGTTGTAAAACCAACTATGTCACTGAAATAAATCGTAACATTCTCTAAATACTGAGCTTCCACTTGGTAGCCGCGCCTCAGTACGTCCGCCACTTCTTTTGGCAGCATACCTGTGATAAACACAAAATTACATATTGTTATATTCATCTCGATCATTCTATCAATCTGAATCTAAGTAATTTCTCTAAGAAACATTAGCGAGGTGACACATATTCCTATCCAAGTGTCTGTATGGTCCCAAGATATCTCAAAATGACGTTCACGGATCTCATGACGCGACGGACTACTTTGTCTGGTATGCAATGACAGTTTCATATAAATATATATTATAACATGCTAAGTACTACTGACATTTTTATGTCCCTGTAATCGAAGATTAGGGGGCATGTAAATTTTGGTCTGTCTGTTTGTCCGCAAAAACCTAACCTTGCCAATAACTTTTGAACGTTGCAACTAGGGCTTTCATATTCTACATGTTTATTTTTTGTGACAAGACTTTTCTTGTGTGACCTGTGGGGCTCTGGACACCTTCCCTGTTTGAGTCTATTTAGTAAAATAAGTACTTGAGAGCATTTTCATAAAATTCGGATATACATAAAAAGCATTTACATATACCACTGAACATCCTTCTTTGAACATCGATATGTCGAATACAACAGATAGGCCAAAACAGGTTATCGTGTTGATGGTCCTGATCGTACGCAAAAATTGATTCACCTCGGAAGATTTTTTAATGTTCCGACATGTTCTAGATTTAGAGGAAAGACTGTATCAGTTTGCATGAAATCTAGGTTGCTTGTTTGAAAAACTCTATTCAACAAAAAAAAAAAAAAAATGTGAAACACTAACTCTTATTAATTATGTGTGCCTCAAAATAAATTGCTTTTAATATGATAGTTTTAACTCAGATAACTTCTTTCCAGCAAAACAAGGTACAAACTATAAAGTAATCGATCCGTCCTCTGTTTTTCAATCATCAAATCATTGGTTCGTTCAGCTACGATCTGTTCTAAGTGCTTCGAGTACTTCTCCATCTGAAATCAGACCGTCTATAGCAATGAATTGATTCATTTGTCATTATTTCTATTGTGGCTGTAAGGTTTTGTCAAATTCAACAAGATTAATGGAGCATAAAAAAGTTAAGTGCTTGCAAATATGATAATTCAATTAATACTGGTTATACACCACAATTAATGTTAAATGTCATTCTGTTTATTACTTATAGCTGTTTGACATGTTATAAAATAGTAATCTGGACCCATTCTTTTATTTTATTATGAAGGGAAATCAAAGAGAGATAGTTTGTTTTTAGATCATTAACCATATGCCGTTCAGTAAAGGAATTTTTAATTTGTAGTTGTATAACAATTTATTCACTTCAAATGACTGCATTCGAAGTAAAAACATAAAAGGAAGTTCCATAAATGTACGACACAGACTAAACAATCATTAATTTGATAGGAGTATTATAAATTGATTGCAAGATCAAACCTACCATTGCCATCATAAGATCGACGGGGTTTTGTTTATTGGGGTTGATTTTGTACAGTATTTTCCTCGTATTACCAAAGGTAGGTCTCTCTGACGGTCTGGAATCTAAACACTCGTCAATCAGCTGTGAGCAAACAAAGCCAAAGTGAATTTTCAGAACTACAATAGATTAGCTAAATAAGAAAATACATGTAGTAATTGCAGCTTTTAAGCTATGATGAAACTGTAAATAGATATTTTAGCTTGTACATTAAATTATTTCACTAAATCAATACATTTTTGTATCATGAATATTGATGTTTCTTTAAATAATATCACATGTTATGTCTTAAGTATTTGAAAATATCACTAATTGATATATACGAAAATTATTCTCATAATTAAGAAAATCCCTTCTGGAGCTTATTTGAGATGTATTAACTTCTCCTTGACCAAATTATGATCATGCCTGATGCTGACAAAATTATTATAGAAGCAACAGAAAAAAACGTTATATGCCAAAAACATTGATTTCAAAAATCTGTATGACAATTAAGTAAAAACAAAGAATTGTCAAAGTGTAAAACAGTAACTGATATACAATTTAAAGGTTTAAAATTTAATATCACAAGGAGCATAAATGAGAGTCAAGTATAAGATCTGTGTATACCCATTTATGTCAGGAGTGCAACATTTGATGTTTTGCTCCTCAGCTTGGAAAATCTTTTATCAGTGTATGATGTTTTACTTTCTTTTTTGGAAAATAAAGACACAAGGAACATTTTTACCAAATAAATCTATCATTTACACGATCTGTCTGTGTTTCAGATTTATATTGCAACACATTTTTATAAACATCTAAGTTCAATAATAAATGACTTCTACTCATACATCAAATTATCATTTGATCAATAAGCACCTATTAGAATAATTTAGACTAAATTAATGGCATTTTTATCATTGAAATCTGTCCTTTTTCAATTTTATCAGTCTAGATGTGTTTTTATTTTTTCTTCTAATTTTTTAAGAAATTCAAAAACAAAACACACAGAAAAATTGTTATAAAATTCAGATAATTCCACCACGTCTTTACTGAAACAATGAAATGTTCTGATTTAATTTATTCTTCACAAATTTACTTTAAGTCTCACATGCTCTTCGTCTAGAGTGCAACAAAAAAGTATAGTATAGCTAGTATAAAAAATGATGAGTATAGAATTTTCTTATTTAACCTCAATTGCTACATGTAACAGTGTTTTTCCCATATTGTAAAATGTCAAATAAAATATACCTTTTTCTTCTTACTATATGTTAAGCTAGTTTTACGACATTATTGGGGATTTTTTTTTATATAAAGCCCGGTTTTAACAATTTTATGCTTTTTAACTTCTATTGGACTATAAATAATGCACAATTTTATTACAACTTGATGTTGTCAGAACTTCATGAATTCTTGTGTTCTGTGGGTTTAATTTTACATCTTACTGCGGTCAGAAGTGCAACAAAATTGTTTTATAATTATCAATAAACATCATCTCTCTTTGCTACAAAATAAATTGCAGAAATACTTGATACTATTTGAAATTATTATTTCTATCAACAAAATACAGACATTTTTTGACATTTTAAGTCAATTCACAGAATAGTTGTCATCACTTTAGATATATATATTTTAATCAAAAATTCATTACTTGAGCAAATAAGCATCTTTTGAAGTCAAGAAAATATGAAAACATTTCCCAAAATGGGTAAAAATATCAACAACAAACTGTTTTGCAAAATTTGAAAGAGAAATTCTGATTTAAAAAATTTATATCAATGTTTTATTAAAAAGAAAACAAACAAAAAAAAAAACATACAAGATGTCAGGAGTGCAACAAAATAAGGTTGAAAAAATAGGATCACTTTAAAACTAGTATTTTTATCAAAAAACTGACTTTATCAACCTTCTTCTTTTTTTTTGGCTTAGATTTGAAGAATTGACAAAATTCATTAAAAATAATTTTGGGAAATTTATTGCATGAAATATGTAGAGATAACGAACAGTATTCGAATTCAAAAGTCCTCTAAACATTACAAAATAGGAGCAGAGCAAACACGGACCTCTAAGACATCAGAGGTGGGATCAGGTGCCATGGAGGAGTGAGCTTCCCCTGCAGACCGGTCACACCCGCTGTGTGCTCCTTGTCATGATAAGGAAATAACGGAAAAATCCGTCGACAATTCAGTGTGTAAATAATGGTCTAACAATTAGTATGAAAAAAAGTCAGTCAGCATTTGACTTTATGATAGATTGTATTTGCTGACAAGGTCATTGTATCGACCATAGAATTTACGAAATGATGACTTTAAACGAGACTGCTGATATTCTTGTTTCATCAACTTGTTTGTCAATAATTTACCTCGTTTTAGAAATTGTTCATACGTAGAGCATGTTCTTGTGTATCGAATCAACCGAGGGATATAAACCCCGTATGCAGGTGATAAGGTTATTGTTGCATAGGTAAGGGAAGTTGACGATTGAAAAGTTTAAGTCCTCACGTTTATCATAAAGCTTAGTTGTTAGATTACCATTAACGTCTTTTTTTTAACGTCTTTTCCTAATAAAATATCTAAATATGAAACAGATGTGTCAGACTCTGTGATATCTTTTATCTCAAGCTCACCGGGATATATCGTGTCGACATAAGAATGGAAATAACCATTGTTAATTAACAATTTACGTCGTCGATATATTTAAATGTCGAGTTGAAGGCCACAGCAAGTGTTTTCTTCTTTTCATGTAAAAGATTTTGAACAAATTCTGCTTCTTATGAATACAAAAATAGGTCTGCTAATAATGGGGCGTAATTGCATCATATTTCATTCCAATCAAAACTTTTCCAATCAGAATTAAGACAATTTATGTTAATTAACAATCAAAAAGCCTTTTTTTCACGTATACAAGAGAGAAGATTTTTTTAACTCCAAATTAAAATTATTTGTTAAGCCATTATTTCCATACTGAACTGACTACGGATTTATCTATTTACCCAGTCAAGACAAGGATTCAAGTCGGATGTGCCTGTCGACAGGAGATGCTTTCTTCCTCATGTCACCTGATCCCACCTCTGCAGGTCCATGATTGCTCTGCTCTCAATATGAATTGTTAATTTGGACTTTTCAACATGATTACTGTTCGTTATATCTTCATAGTTTTTCAGTGATCGGGATTTCCACAGGGATTTAACATTTCTGACATACACAGGGTTTAACACTGAACACACCATACAGGAATAGAATAATTAAGGCCTCACAGAATATAACATATGACACACAGGGATTTCACTTACAGTAGAAATGAATTTTACACTAAGAATGCTCAGGGATTTGACATGCACATCATGCAAGATGCATGAGTTGTGGTAAGTTGAAAGCTAAGGCTTGAATAGATTTGAAACTCGGATTTTTAGACAATTATGACATTCAGGGATATGCCATTTATGAGACATGGGGATTTGACAGTTACGACACTCATGGATTGTGATACCCAGGGATTTTTAACACTTACGGTACACGGGGGTTTAACACTTACCGCACACAGGGCTGTCGGTGTTGGACATGCATCATCCTCATTATCCCTCTTCTCCAAGTTTGGTAATGGAGGCTTCCAGTGGGGTGGTAAGGTATCCAGGTCTTCGTCCTGTTTAGGGATTATTGTTACTTTTTTAAAAGCCAAAACATTTTTAATGAAATGTACAAAATGTAGCACAGAATATGACACCTATATTTTGACAATGTACGTAGGTTATTCCAAATCTTTTACTCCCTCTGAAAACAATAATTGTTTGTAGTAAAGCTTTCTGAAAATATTTGTTTTTTTTTTCAAAATCATGAAAAAAAAAACCGATCTTAAGTTAATTTATCATACAACTTGTCTTATGCATGCAGCTATCCTTATAAATGGAAAAAATATCAACGTTTTGAGGAATAATGAACAATGTCTACAAACCCCGTAGGGATCACTTCTGTTTGCAATTTCTGTTAAAATAATTCCATATGCATAGACGTCTGATGGTTTTGTAAAGACTGGAAAAGCACCACCGACTTCAGGGGCGTGGTAAACAACGCGCCTTCTGCTCTGAAACTCTGACGTCATTTCGTCTGATTTGAAGTCATGTTTGCGCAACAAAGGAAGTCCATAGTCTACAATGACTTTGATTTCAATTTACCATTGTACAAGTAAAAGTTTTAAATCTTAAAGTAATCTTATAATCATTTGCTCAGAAGAAAGGAAAGCAAAAGGTTGAAATTGACGAGGAAAGTTAAATAGCAAAATGAATACTGCGAGGGGAAAAAGATAAATTAATTCTAAAGTTAACGCTTAATTGTTTTGTTTGTGCAAGAATTTAATAGGGTAATTGTTTTTAATTAAATTGAACAAAGCAATATATACATTTCGGTGTTCCTAGTGTATTGAAAGTGTACGTGGTTCCTATTGTGTGTTCTACCGCGCCCTATTCTATTTGCAACAAAATGAGTTTTTTTTTAAATCCAACAATGAAAACAATTGTTTGGATTTTCATGTATACATGCATTCAAAAAAGTGCATGTTATCATCAACGCATTGCACCTTAATTGACAGCTTTCTGAGGAAATAGCTACATGTACATGTATTTGGTAAACAAACACGAGGAAGTTTTTTAAATTGATGACATTTTTTTTTTTCATAAAAAAATCTTTTTGATGTCCAAATATGGCAATATACAAAAAATGACTTAAAAGTGTCATTTAATTAAAGGTAGCAAAGAGCCGGACATTAATTATTCCTCCGTATCTCCACATTTTCTATAATCTACGTGACTGTTAATTACTGCTATCTAATATCGGCAACTATTAATTATAAAAAATATTTCTTAAACTCATGGTGTCCATTATTTTTAATCAAGATTTTAATTAACATTTCAAATTTCAATTACCCTATTCAATTATATCAAGGTAACATTTATCGAATGTTGCTAGTCAGTTGCCATTTATTCTTTTATGTATCATTAAAGAAATTTTGTCTTCCGGTTCTCTATCACAGTCAAAAAATGACTCTCTCACTAATTAAGGAAAATGTCGCGCTGTAATATACAGAGTACCTGTAATTTTAACAGACCATCGGTCGTCCACCACGCAATTACTAGAATTAAGTCGACCGTGAATAACAGAATGATTATGTAGATAGTCCATTCCATTTGCGATGTCAGAAGCGAAGGAAAAGCGGAAGGACCAAGTGAGTGGAATCTCGTCGTTCTGAAGGACATCCGCTAAAGCGCCCTTGGGACAATATTCCATCAAGATACAGACATTGGGGACTTCTACACAAGCACCCACAAACTGACAAAGGTTCTGATGACGTAGTTCTCTACAAAATAGATTTAACACTAACTCACATAGAATTCATCTAAAATTTTACTCTGAAGAACGAAAATGATGTATAATATCATCATTTGAATTTGCTTAGTCATGATTAAACTTTTAAATTAGTATTTACCTGATTTCTTTAACTTCTAATCGAACACTTCTATTGAGTATAAAATTGTATTTATTGATATTTTTGACAGCAACAAGTTTTCCATCTCTGTGAAAGAACAAAATTGAAATAAAACTGCAGCATTACTCAGTTTTTAAGATAAAAGTCAGTACTCTCGATACTTTTTTTTCAATGTCAAAGGACAAAAATGGATCCTCGACTTACAATCTCGCTGTTTGTGCAAAGATTTGCATTCCGGTCTGAGCATTGAATACGTCATCGTCGTCATACTTTAGCGATATACGACTGATGACGCTGTTAAACATAACGGTATTGTTGTCTGCAACATAAAAAAGATGTGAAGATACACCACAGAATGATAATAAAGGTGTGAATGTCTGTCAATCAAATCAACAATAAAGGTATGAAGGTGTTTCCAGCATATCAACAATGAATATGATGGCTGTTCATTAGAATTAGCAATCTGTGTAAAGGATATGGTTAAACAGAATAAATGATAAAGGTGTTAATTGAGACAATGTTGTATTCTCTATTCCCAGCTATGAATATGTTCACTATACTCACTTAATACTAATTTAGAATATGGAACAATCCAACTTTCATCCAACAGCAATTTTCTTTTCTGAATTAAAATAGCCTTTGAAAAAAATGAAGAGAAGTTTCACAAGGTGTCACATTTATGAACAGGAAAAAACTTATTTCCTTCATTATGAACAACAAATGAACTATGAAGCTTATAAGTTATGTTTGCCCTTTCTTACGCAAAACTATATCGTTATGAAAATAAGACAATGCGTTCTTAACTTGGATATAGTTATCATAAAGTGGATGCCTTCCGTTTGTTTATGCTTTTTTTCTCAGGTTTTTTGTAGACTTACGGTGATGAAGCCAAAGATGACCATGACACTAGCCAGTGAGAAGAAAACGATGATTCCAATGTGTAACGATGATAAAGGACAGGTTCCACAATCATAAGGACAAGTGGAGCAGGTCTCCTCCACGTGACAAGAACCATCTCCACACACTATAAGTAAGATATTTACACTGCTCTTAAGTACATGTGTACTATTTACCTTGATTTTATGTGATTACGTCCCTTTTTGTTAAATCAAACTTTTATTTCAGTAGAACATACAAGACATTTGCATTTAACTGAATTCATCTAAATCAAATATCATTCATAATTAACAACATGTGAATCTTTCTGATAATGTTGACACTTAAGGTCTAGTAACGTATAACAAAGATTCTGAATTGACAACATATTGATTTTGCAATTAAAAAAATTATGTTGGAATATTGGAAATATGTAGGCATCATGCAGTATTAGAGTTTTCCACTACAGGGAAATGGATGAAAAATAAATCTATCAACATTAAGTGATGATTATTTCTGCATCTGAAAAAGGTTTCAATTAACTAGAGAAGATACAAGGCCACAAAGCTGGTTAGATTGAAAATTTTTAATATACAACTTCTGTCATTTCCATCCTATACAGTTAAAACAATAAAAGGACGGGTACGAGTCAATGCACACGTCCATGAAAACATAAGATTGAAATTGTAATTTCAGTTGCTGTGTGCTTACTGTTAAGCTGTTAAATTACCCAGTGTGTGGGTTCATGGAAACAATAGTTTTTAAACTGAATTTCATATATATATCCGTATTTTCAAGATAGTGCCGAAGTACTTAGCTACTAGGCTGTAGAGACCCTTGGGGACTAACAATGCACCAGCAGAAGCCTCGACCTAGTGGTCATAATGTATAAATCTTATACGGTACCAAATTTGATGCACCAGATGCACAATTCGACAAATTATGTCTCTTCAGTGATGCTCATGTCGAAATGTTGCATTTATCATAAATTGTTGTCTTCCTGTAGTCAAATTAGGAAAAATTTAAACACACAATATAGTTGATTTACCTGATTTTGGATGAACTTTGACCTCCTTCATCAATGCAAGATGCATTCCAGCAATTTTATAATGGGCTATGATGGAGTGCTCCCCCTCCACAAATAATCCTCTTACATTACTGGACCAGTTCCCCTGTGTAGGCGGCCCCACCTCTGCCTGGGAGTGAGTAAATATGTCCCCATTGGCGGGGATCCATGGTCCACAGAGGTTGTTGGTCATACCCTCCTGGTTGGCTGGACAGCTGTGTATGTTGTAATGATATATACAACAGTTCTCCATATTGGCCAACTCTTTTGCTGGACATGCTGTACTCTCGCACCACGTCTGAGCTTCTGTTCCGCTGCTACAAATAGACAAAAGAATTTTAATTAGCAAAGTTACGAAATTTCATAATCAGATATTTTTTTTTCTTTTTACGACTTCTGTGATAAAAAAAAAAGATCTTCTCATGGTGACAAGCATCCTCGAATTATCACTATATTTTTATTATCATTTAAAATATTAAGTTTTTCCGCAGGGTATTTTGTTAATAACATTCTTCTGAGAGGACCATTCAATTCAGTTTAATAATCTATGAAAATGTTCTTCCAAGCCATGACATGGAATTTTTTTTATATGTATAGGTATTGATAAATGTTCTTTTATTTTTTTAAAAATGCTAATGACAATTATTTAATACATTTCTGCTCGAACTCTAAAATGGCATCTTTTCTCTTTATTAGGTAATCATATTTATCTTTGAAATGAATGGCTGCGAAAAAGCTCACATGTTTTTTGCACAAATTAAGGCTACATTCTTTTGTAATAAAAATTAACTTTATCTAACTTCAGTACGACAAAATAACCCTGGGATGTATTTGATATCTCATGTCAAGGGTACATGCCCTTTAAAATCATTATCTTAAGTTTTCAAAGTCAATGCTTTAAAGGGGATCAATAAATGGTATGATGTAACAACTATATGATTCTACAATAGCTATGTACAAATTGAATTTGTTGAGCTTTTTTGGTATTATTTGTTGAATTTTTTAAATTGAAATCTTAAAGAGGAGTATTTTTCTGAGAACATTGCTCATTTACCTCTAGTTTGTCTAAATGTAGCGCTGAAGAGGGACAATGCTAGATACAAACCATGCCAAAAGGTAGGTTAATGAAGTATTGCTTATCTTTAAAAATAGTGAATCCTTACTATTAAAACAAAAATTCTTTTACATTTATAATGTGAAGTTTTGTAATTTTGCAGTGGGACGGACCTTTAATGATGCTAGATTTCAGAAAGTAACTCTGACAAATGTCAGCTTTTTAACAAAGAAAGCAGTACAACAGCTGAGAAATACTGTTACCATATTGCGCTATGGAGTCATGTTAATGTAAAGAAAATATAAATTACAGCACTTGTACTGTCTTTGAATCTAGGCGAGGGAAAATAGTCACCCATAGTCCAGAGAGAATCTTCAATTAAGAATTTAGCATCGCAAAGACGGCTGCAATAGGCAAGAAACCATAAAAACCATTTTGGAATTGTTATGATTTATCAGCCAAGAGTATAAACAAGTCCTACCAATTATTATCTGTGAATTATTTTTCAGTTTGCGAAATAAAAAATAAAATTAGATGAATAATCACTTTTAAAATAAATTTTCTTGTCTTGTTGCACAATATCACATTGTACCAATGTGACTTAAATTTGTGCGAAACACCATTTGAGTTTTAAAGGTGCGTGAGGCTGTATATTCATGTCTTGTGAGAAAGTCTCCAAAAGATCATTAAATATCATTTGATTTATGTATATGTATATTTAATATTCTTACATAATTAATTCATTTTGTATCAATTCTTTTCTAACATGTACAGTATAGCCTAATCTGTATTCTAGTCATACGTGAAATATGAAGATAACAAACAGTATTCAACCTCAAAATCCATTAAAACAATATAAATTGTAAACAACCATCATGCAATGGAGCAGTAAGAATTCCCTGTCGACTGGTCACACCTGCCGTGTACTCCTTGGCATGATCGGTTAAACGAAAATTGCCGTAGACAATTCAGTGTGATAATAATGGCCCAACAATTTATATGAAAAACGTCAATCACCATTCGACGTAATTAGATTGCATTTGCTAGCAAGGTCATCGTATCGACCATAAAATTTGCAAAATGTTGAAATTTAACGAGATTGTTTGATATCCTTGTATCATCAACTTATTTGTCAATAGCTTGCCTCGTCTCGTTTTAGAAATTGTATGAAAGTAGAAAATGTTCTTGCGTATCGAATCAACTGGGAGACATAAACTCCATATCCAGTTGATAATGGTATAATGCTATATAAATGAGGGAAGTTGAAATCATAACATTTTTCATAAAATTTTGTTGTTATGTATCTCAGAAGATAACATGTTAAAATGAGCGGAACAAATTTTCTATATTTCATCACCGGTTTGATAAATTTTTAACAATGCAGTCATTGTCATATTGTGTAAAATAAAATGTCTGATTATTTTGACAGCGAAAAAAAAATAATGTCTGAAATCTCTGACACTTCAGTATACTACGTGTGGAATAACAATTAACTGTAACTTAATTCAGATTTATATTCTAGTCGTTGTTCTACCTGTTTCTCTGGTCGAGTTGAACTCTCTTGTATTGCTGAGAGTGAAAACCATAGGAATTAATTATAATATCAAAAGCAAAAACTGTACTGTGGTAATTATTACTTTGGTAATATATGTGAGAAAGGTTTGAATTATAAAGTCGTTGTTTCATAATTTCTTTTGGTTATTGTTTATTTCATGTCAAATGAAATTGATGTTACATTTACTAGTAATTTAATTAAAAAGATCACCTCACTCCAGCCGAGCCATTGATTCCGCTGAAGATATCATGCTGGAACCCCCAAGTGTAGAACTCTGGGGTAAGGATTAACTCCGAGGTGACGTTAAATTCTACCCCGAACTTAACAACATCTGGTGGTTCCTTGACCCATTTAATCTGAACACCTGAAATGGGATGAAAATATCATAGAAAAAAATGTGAAATTTGTATCTAGAAAAAAGTGTGTCTCGTTATAAGTGCAGGATACCGTATACAGGGTTATTTTCGCCCTTTCACACTTCCAAGCAATTTTGCCCTGTTTTAAATTCGCCCAGTCACAGTTCTGTTTAAGAAATTATACTGTTCTTTGAATTTGCCCTTTTTTTGAAATTCATCCACTTGTGAGTGAGGGGCGAAAATAAAACGAGGGCGAAAATTTCATTTCCCTGTGTTCAGTGGTTGTTGTGGATACAGTGTAAAAAGAAATGGAGATATATGTATGTTAACGTGCACATATGTCACCATACACTCCAATTAAAATGTAAAATCATTACCAACAAAACTTACAGTTCAGTTATTAAACTGATTTGAAATGATTACACATTCAAAGCTAACAGGAAGGTAACATTTTTTTCATGCTCCACGTTTTCATAATCTTTATTAATATTTCATTACTTGGAAGATAAAGGGACATTTTTTTCTAGGTAAACATCGAATCTTAACTAGTCTATACATACAATATCTACTTTACACTACATAAGCATGGAGTCTAAGCTAACCTTTACATGTACATTCCATATCTAAACTACACTACACAGGTCTTTTTTTTCAAAAATAAAAGAGTACATGTATCTAAATTGAAAAATTTAGAAAAATTTTTATAACCTTTCAGTCTCTACATCCTACATGTATAAATCAAAAGCAGTGTTTAAATTATACCTGGTGTCATTTAATGTTCTTATTACAGATTATCACATTTTTTAATGGTTTTTTTTTGGGGGGGGATCAAATCATATGTTATATTACATGTACTTCTTACATGCACATAAACATGCCTTTTGGCGTGTTATTATTTAAATTAAGTACACAAATCACATTTCCGATGAAAACGAATCTCTAACAAAATGAAATGTATCTATTTTTTGCCATATTCGTAGACAAATAAATTCTTTTCAAACCATGTTTGGCAAACCCAAAGTACTTGTAACTGAGCGTAGTTCAAGGACACAAACTCATTTCTTTTCAGAAATTAAAAATAGATAAATCACTTGAAGATATTAAAAATTATCTCAGAAAAAGAATAACATATATCAAAAATAAATTTTCGAATAATGCCATTCTTGACTAATCTCGTTTCTTCTTAATTTTCCAGTCAAAATTCTTAACGTTGATGTATAATCCGAAACAAACCAAGATTAAGGACTGACGACACTTTCCTTGAATATCTGTTTTTATATTCTTTAGTAATATATCAAAATTATCTATAATTATTATCATCTTGTGAATTCTAAACTGTTTTCAAAATGTTTAAATTTACATACACACAAAAAATTGAGATATCAGCGTTTTAAGTGATTTCCAATAGGATTACATAGGGAACAGCATTCTATGGTATCTTGCACAAATGCCTGGTAATATACCCCAATTTTTGTGAGGAAACTTAAAATAGTAATACTTCAGTCAAATATTCTTGAGAAAATTATATATTATTGAAGAACGTGTCGTCTGATCTTAAAACGGTTTAGTTAGGATAACCGATGTTGAAATCATGCTTTACAGGTTAACTATTTCAGTCAGGATCTTAAATCTGAGTCGATCTTTATTTGAATCAAACTCAGGCTATATTATAGTTGTTAAGTCAATTGTTATACATATTTACGTCAGAAGTTCAAATGTTAAAACACGGTATACTTCCAAAATTTCGCAAATTCATCGATATATAGCTTTAAAATCAAGTCTTAAAGTATTTCTTTTACATCTTATAAGTTTTGATATCATTTGAATTACACTTTCGTTGTTGAAATAATATTTTAGCACATTTGGCAGGAAAGAACATTTTAAAAAGGATTTCAGTCAATAATATCATTTTGAGACAGCACATAGCACAAACTTAGATTTAAAAAAAAACTTGCAAAATAGCAACCTTTTCCAGGGTCAAATAGTAATTTAATTAAAGAGTAAATAACGGGTAGGTTAATATTAATTCTTTGCTAGTCCATTTTAATTACTATAACAGTCAGAATATAACATTATGTTTGGGTATTGAAATTTTACAGATTATATCCAGAATTTTAGTAGTTGGCTTTTAGAGCCTCTACGATTAAAGAGACTGTCATAGTTAGGAAGCTGTAATGAATCACTTACATACCAAGTATGATTTGTACAATCATTTGTAAAAAAAATTCTCAAAACCGTAGGTCCGATTTAAAAAAAAAAAATCCTGGCTACGAGGCCATAAAACTTAGTTACCTTAATTTTTGATCTCAGACTCACTTTTACGATAGGGATGTGAAGTGGAAAAATAAGACTGGGTTCGTATATACGTGTAATCAAAGTAACTCAACCAAAAATTCATCATATAGCTCTAGAGAATTAGTTCACCATCATTGTAAATTTCCAATCAATTAATTTATCTACTTTTATCCAATCCAATTAATTTACGTTAATGAATATCAAATGTAATGTGCTGAAAATGATCACCTCTATTTACAAGAGGAAAGAAACATCACTGAATGGGACATTTAAATTTATGGAGGTGAATTATACTGATATGGTAATGAATAATTTAAATTTGATCTCCTAAGTAAACTCATGATTTCTCTAGCCACATATACGTCACACATACTTTCACATACGTCGTACAACAGGTAAACGACGTCTAGCTATCGTTGGAATTCTAAGAGTTTTCTAGGAAACTTCCTCGACAGTTCTACGAATGTTACGTCATCTGTCTTATTTTTTATTCTTGATTAAACGTTCGGTATTCTCGCCTTCTTGATATTGTAATTAAGGATAATAATTTTTCAAGAAAGTCAGACAAGTTCACAACTAATTTTTTTTTTTTGTATTTTTTTTAAGAAAAAAAAAATGAATAATAAGTAAATACCCCTATGGAATTATGCAATCGGCATAACAGAGTATGAGGATTGGTGACATTGTACAAAGGGTTCTTAGATCGGGCTTTGACGGTTTTGAGATTTTTTTTTTTTTTTTTTTTTTTTTACAATTTATTCGAATCATATTGGATATGTAAATGCTACAATACAGCGCAGCTTCCTAATCATGACAGTCCGTTGTATTATTCGTAAGGGCTTTAAAAGCTACAGTTTGTAAACTTTCTATACCCAAACATAATTACATGTATCATTCTGACTGTTAATTATATTTGATTCGCAAATACATGTATTTGTTATTTAGAGTCATTTACTCTTTAACCAATTAACTTTTTAATCATGTACAAGGCTGTAATTTTGCAATTTGAAAGTTCTATTTTAAAGCTAAGTTTGAATTAATAATTTGAGTTATGCATCGTCTCAAAATGATATTATTGTACTGAAATCTTTTTTGAAAGTGTTTTTGTGTCAAATTTGTCGAAATATTATGTCAATAATAATAGTGTAATTCAAATGATATCAAACTCTTATAATAAGATGGTAGAGAAATACAATAGACTTGACTTTCAAAGTTTTAAGACATCGATGAATTCGGTTACAATTTTGGAAATCTATTATGCATACCATCTATCATGCATAACATTTGAACTTATGACGTAAACATTGGTTACAGTAGGTTTAACAACTTTAATATAGCCCGATTTTGCTTAAATTTAAGCTGATCAAGATTGATCAAGATTTACAGGATTTTCATTTTGTAAGTAAAACTAAAAACCCAGTCCCCGATAGTTTGTGCAGATTCAGGTACGAAATCATATATATTTCCTTTCACTGAACCTGATACGGAGATACTGTGAAATCACTAATTTTCGTGCGGGTTTAATTTTCGTTGTTTTCGAGGGATGGAGAGACCAATGAATTTATGACCACCACGAAATGTAAAATTTCATATGCATTACTACTAAACATTGTCCAACCACGAAATCAAGTCCCCACAAACCAATATTTTTTCCCTCAGATCTTGAAAATTTTACCCCGCGAAAATATGTGATTTTACAGTAGATCAAATTAGAAGTTTTGAATTAATTGCATACAGTTTCGAAAACACCAATATTTTTTCCCTCAGATCTTGAAAATTTTACCCCGCGAAAATATGTGATTTTACAGTAGATCAAATTAGAAGTTTTGAATTAATTGCATACAGTTTCGAAAACACTCAAATAAAATGAGATTATGTCCAGTTCCTATAATGTTTTTTATAACAATGTCAATGAAAAAAAAAACAGTATTCTAATATTTGAATTAGTTAACCTGTAAACCATGACTTAAGCATCGGATAGCCTAGTTTGACCTTTAAAATCCTAAATTTGGACAATTATTCTATACTCTTTTAGACGAGTGGTCTTTCACGAGCTACCAGGTTCATTCGAAGACAAGAATATTCGCAATTTACTGTCTTTATTGATTACAGACCCCGTATAAATTCAGTAATTATTTTAGCGTGGAGAAGTTTTAATCCCAAACACAGGAATGAATATTGGGATAATTAAAGACAGTTTAATAATTGGCCAGTGTAAAGTAACTGTAGTAATGTTCAACTTTTTCACCCTCGACTTATCATGCATGCTTGACTGAGTATCACAAATAATTCAGAATTTTTCCTCAATCATTTTTTTCTGATTTAAAAAAGGAGAAACTGATATTCAAGAGGGTAAATCGATATGTTTGAATGACAAACATACACGAATGTAAATCTTAATTACGTCATTTTTCTTTTACATCATTCTCACAACATCGGTAATTGCAAATTGTTTGGAAAAAGTTTAGCATTAATTATTTTCTTGAACCACCTTCCATTTAAGCAACTATAGTGTCATTAATGCTTACAAAATTTAGATATTAAATGAGTTCAAAAAAAAAAATGTCTTCCATTTTTGCAATGTCATTATGGTAATGAAGTCAGCAATTTTATATAGGGGAATTATACCATTTTTTTTTTAAAAATATGCTCTTTTCAGTAAATGTGTATTAAATTTAGGAAAGTATTCCAGTATGCCGATGAGTTTCACAGTAGAGTGTAATTCGGCAATATTTTTTTTTCTTTGTTTCAATTTACCGCAGATATAAATTTTATATTTTTCATCAATTTTGAATTGATTCGAAGAATGAAATTAAAACTACATGGTGCTTGCATATACTTGTTCACAAATGGTACTTTGAAATCAGCTCTACATTTGTGAATTCATTTGGGGGGGGGGGGGGGGGGGGCTAATGGTTCCCCCCAATGTTAAGGTACTTAGATACAGACCTTTACATGGATTGAATGGGGTCGGTTTATTAGCACTAGCGTCTATCGGCCAACAGTGATACTTCGTATTCATGAAGAGATGCCAGGCCCTTGTGTTGTGAACAGTGTGCTGAAATATTAGATAACATAGAAATCAAAGATCTTTAGCTCAATCATCGTGCCCTTGAATACTTTGCTTTCCAATTACATGTAAACAATTTCAATCTATGATACCGGTATTACTTTTAGATCAAATAGAAATCTGTAATTGCTTTCGGTTGTTTTATTAAAAAGTTTGGAATAAAAGTCTGATAGGTTTGATATCAAATTACTGGAAAAATATAATTTTGCAGAAATAGATGCAGCGTTTTAATCTAATTTGTAATGCTGTAATAACAATACAAACAAATACAGGTCAAGGAATAATAATTCATTTTAGGCTCCCAATGACCGAGTAATTTAATATGCCAAACACATGTACATTTCAAAACAGACAATTATGATATTACAAAACCCTTCATTTAATGATATACATGTAATTCTCAAATCTGTTATGGTCGAGTTCGATCAAATTTTGTATTTTTATATGCCCAAAATTCTCTGGGAACAAATGATTTGTTCAAGCATTTCCTTCGCGAGCTAAGTAGTCATGTAAAGTTAATTATAAGCCTTTCGATATCTGATCATTAAAATAAAATCCTTAGAAACTTTAAATTAATTACCATTATAGCAGAAATGGAATGCTGGAGTCCATCTTAGTACATGAATTAAAAAAACTTAGTTACAAACTCAAAATCATATGCTATAATTTATTAAAGTGAACAATAAAATGAAATATCATTCCCTTTTCATCAGATTAGATTTCATAGCAACTGAAATAACTGTACACACATTGTCCTGTTTTCATTATATGGACCAGCACTCATAATGATTTTAAAGTTTCAAATTTACATATTTTAACATATTCTCAATTTGAAATCAGTTTTACAAGTAATAAACGAAATATGATATGTTTCAGTAAAATAAAGAGGAATCTTTACAGGTAGAAATAAGAAGAGAATAAAACCTTACCATCAGCAAAATCAGGAGGGATACGAAGAACACTATAGGAATCCGAATGACACATAGCTTCCATAACACAGGCATTTTAGTGAGTGCCATAAGCCATTGTCCACAGAAAGTGTGCGGTCCCCTTCCAATGGCAAGTATTTTTATCGCTCTAGTATTGATCACTTGTTCATCAATATGTCATCATATTGTACCTTTGCTTATGAAAGCAACGTTATGGTTTTAGGTCATTAAATTTCTCAATTTAATCGGTTATTAATCTGTAGGATGTTAACCATGCTTCTTCATAAATCTATTATCGGGGGGTGAGGTCGGGATGGGAAATCATGCTACACAATTTTACTGAGACGTTCAGAGACTTATGTCGAGATCGATGCCTATATATAGACTGGAAAACATTTTGACGGTAAAATCGCGATTTTTTTTTCCATTTTATTAAATTTGTGATATATATGATAGAAATGAAGTAAACAATATTGGATTGTAACAGTTCAACGAGATTTAGAAGCTTGTTCTTATTACATCTCAAATAAGATCTTTTAATAAAGAAACTGTGTTTACCTACAGAGTAGCATGCAGTTACATATTTTCAATAGCTTGTTCAGAGTTCTATATGGTGTGCAATTTGGACTTTCGGGTACTGGCAGTATCACATAAGTTTGAATATAGGTCATGAAGTAACTCAAGTGTAACATCGTATTTTATATGATTTCACTATTGTATGCAAGTCTGTTTTTCCCTAAGTCTTATGCAGGTAATAGGGTCTAATATAATACATGCATTGTGTATTGGTATTTTTTTTAAATTCTCTATAAAATTTAACACATTTTGCCAGTAACCATGTAACATCTTGACAAAATCTCCTTGGTTGCTTGATACAATTGTCCATGTTTGAAAACTGTTTCTATCCCATTGAACTTGAAATAAAAGATACCACTGAACCTGACACATCTGTTTCGGGTTTGGATATTTCAATAGCAAAAGACGTCAATGGTAAACAAAACTTTATGATAAACGTGATGACTGGTCGACAGGGGATGCTTACTCCTCCATGGCACCTGATCTCATCTCTGATGCTTTTAGAGGTTCTTGTTTGCTCTGCTCCCGATTTGTATTGTTACAATGGACTTTTGAGCTTGATTACTGTTCGTTATTTCCATATTTCATTCTAGGAAAAGTAAGACACGCTGTGATTGAATTACAATAACAGATAAAATCCGAAAAGTATTCTCTTTCTACATGTTTTATAACAATGCTTACTTAACATGTAAACAATGACAACTGAAAGAGGAGTCAGTAATAAATTGATCAAGCTTCCTTCAAAGACGTTGAAAGTTATTTCAGGATACAGAAGTTTGCTGAAATAATTTAAAAGAAATACCATATACAAGGGTTGTCCATAAAGTTGGTGGACAATTGTTATAATTTTAATAATGACCGCACTGGCAAACGTTTACATGGATATTTTAATAGAGACCATGATTTAATAAAAATAAAAAACAATACACACTATTTCTAGGTTTGATCCTAATAGGCTTTCGTAATTTTACGAACGATAAAGGGGTAAATACTTTGTATATACAAGCCGCACATCCCAGTCTGACGTAAAGCTAATTTCATGATAAAGTCAAAAATATGAATTTTGAATTTTTATTCTTTTTATATTTTTAATAATGCCAAAATTAAATCTTCTCTAAAAATTCTACTTTTATGGTATACCAAAATACTTGCAGGGGTTCAAAATTTTTTTTATCATGGTCAAGTCCAGGACTTAAAGAGTAAATTTTAGGCAAGTCCGAGGAAGAAATTTCTGAGTCCATATTTTCATGATAGATAAAATTATATTTACTTAAACCATCATTAAATATCGGAAAATTTTGACAAAATGAACAAAACATCGTTTTCGTATCGTCATTGTAATCAAGCCACGGCCTATCATCACGCCAGTGGCTTTGGAATTCGCGAACTCTCTTCTTGTCATAGGTTCCGTCTTTGGAATTGTTATTTTGATCCCCAGCTTCATGTTCCTCACGGGGTCTTTTATTTCTCGTTCCCTTACTGGTAAAACCAAAATTTAACAAACTCATGTCATATGGGAGGAAACATGAGAAATTGCGTAAAAGCAGGTGTCTAACCGCAACGGAACATAAAAAGACGGATTGTATTTTTTTGAGACGTTCGTAATGTTTTGTGGGTATATTAACGCCAAAAAATCCACATTTTTATTCAATACATTTGAGAATTTGCTTTATTTTTAGTTTTACGAACTTTTTTCTTAACTTAAATAAAAGATAAACAAGAAACATTGCCAAGTCCCAGGACTTTTGGCGATTCTAAATGCCGAGTCCGGATCCGGAATTTGTTAGTCCGGGACGTCGGGCTTGAGGAATTTTGAATCCCTGACTTGGTATAAGAACAAATTTTTACATCTGCTAGTGCTAAAAATATTTCTTCTCTTCGACTATAACGTTCAAATCATATACATATTTTTAAATATATTTTGTTTTGCTTTTATTACTATTTCTTTCTTCTTCTTCTTGATTAAGCCTTGGAAAAGTTGTTTTTAACTTGTTGCATGGTATGGTCCGCGCTCGATTAGATAACGGGCATGCCAAGATGCACATTTGATGATGTTATTGAATGCAGCATGTGTGTTAAATAAAGGTTTTATTATGAACCCTCTGCGTCGAAAACCTTTTGTATTCTTTACAGAAGTGCAAAAATATCCCCATATCGAGACCAACATGGTCAACTATTGATTTTTTTTCCGTGACCTGAAATAACCAAAAATGGGTAGAATCTACATAGTAATCAAAGGTTACTCGCCCCGGTAAAATAATACTCAATGTAAATGTGAGATTTGTCAGATGGAATCTATCGTTCAGATCTTATTTTTGTAATGAGTGCGGTGTTCTTATATGACTCTCGTGTTTGCTGATTTTTCCTATTTTTGTGTATTAACATTTTTTCTTTCATTTATTTGGATCTTCGTTGTTTTTGGATTTATTCGTCACGTTTACTGTTTTCCTCTTATATACATTTGTTTATATATCAGCTCAAAGTCCATTGAAACAATACAAATCGGGAGCAGAGCATCCACGGACCTCTAAAAACATCAGGGATGGGATCAGGTGCCATGGAGGAGTGAGCATCCCTTACCGACCGGTCACACCCGCCGTGTGCTTCTTGTCATGACTGGGAAAAAAAGAAAAAAATCAGTAGACATTTTAATGTGCTAATAATGGCCTTACAATTTGTATGAAAAATGTCAGTCAGCATTTGACTTAATGATAGGTTGTATTTGCTGGCAAGGTCATTGTATCGACCATTAAACTTGCAAAATAATGACTTCAAACGAGACTGTTGATATCCTTGTTACATCAACTTGTTTGTCAATAGATTGCCTCGTTTTAGAAATTGTTCATAGGTAGAGCTAGCTCTTGCGTATCGAATCAACTGAGAGACAAAAACGTCATATGCAGGTGATAAGGTATACTGCTGTATAAGTAAAAGGGAGGTTGACGATTGAAAAATTAAAGTCATCATAAAGCTTTGTTGTTAGGTTACATTTATGTCTTTTTCTAGTAAAATATCCAAATATGAAACAGATGTGTCAGACTTTGTGTTATCTTATTATTTCAAGTCGACATATGAATGGAAGTAACTATTGTTAATTAATAATACGTCGTCGATATATCTAAATGTTAATCTGAAAGCCACAGCTTCTCATGTAGAAGTTTTTGAATACATTCTGCTTCATATGAATACAAAAATAGGTCTGCTAATAAGGGGGCGCAATTGGTACTTATGGGAATTCCAACAGACTGTTGGAAGACCTGATCTCCAAAAACTACATAGATATCGTCAATCAGAAACTCAAGCATCTTTTTAATATCAACTTCAGAGTACTTGTATGCACAATCAGAATGTTTTTTAACAAATTCATTTTGCAACTGACCAATGACAAGGTAAGTATATTTACGAGTTCCATTTTTATCTAAAAAAAGAAAAGCTGTCTATGATGTCAAAAAGCCTAAATTTTAATTTTT